GGACCGATTATTTTACCATTTAAAATTCCTGTCCAATGGTTTATCTTGAAGCGAATAGCAAGTAAGTGATGTGCTTCATCCATACCACGTACAGCGTGTTCAAGCTCTTCTGCCCCGGGATTATGAGCCCCGAGTTGTTTTTTTTCGCACAATGTTAGAAAGACACAGGGAAGATCCACGGTTCTTTGAAAAAATTTTATGGTCAGATGAGACCACATTTAAGAAAGACGGGTACATGAACCTGCATAACTTACACGAGTGGCACGTAGCAAACCCACATTTGATGAGAGAAGATAAATCTCAATATCGCTACAAGATAAAGCATTGGACAGGAATTTTAAATGGTAAAATAATCGGTCCGTTTGAGTTCCCAGGGACTTTGACTGCTGAGGTTTATTTAGGTTTTTTGCAAAATCATTTAGTCAAAATTTATTGGAGGACGTGCCACTGAGTATTTACAGGGACATATAGTTTCAGCATGATGGCTGCCCAGCGCACTATGCACTCTCAGTGAGAGAGTATCTCGATCAAAACTTTCCAGGCAGATGGATAGGGCGGTCTGGTACAATACCGTGGCCAGCCCGGTCACCAGATTTGAATCCGTTAGATTTTTTTTACTGGGGAACTGTAAAAGAAAAAGTGTATTTCAAGCCGATTCAAAATGTAGCTGAGCTACGGCAAAGACTATTGGAAGCAGCTGAGTTTGTTAATAACCGTGGATTCGCTCGTTTAATAACCCGATCTTGTTTAAGAAGATGTCGAGCGTGTATTGCGGCTGAAGGAAAACATTTTGAGCATTTACTGTAAAGGTAAATCATCATCAGCAGCATTTTGACGCCCACTGTTGTGCAAACAGTTATCCTTAAGGGTCCTTGTGCGTTTTCATAATCGCTGTTTAATTATGAAATTTTGAAAAATTTTCATCAGTTTTTCTTCAAATAAAAATTGTGCATAAGTTAACGAGTAATCTTCTAAGTGTTATACCATTTTGGAATCCTTATTAAATGCGCCAACTTTTAAGGTTACTTGCCAAACTCTCGTAGTACATTTTTTCCAGTACAGCCAGTTAAAGTTGAGCAAAGTTTTACTTTGGAATACTTGGTTGGGAAATAAGTGGCAGTTTTTCCTGAACGAGAAAAGTTGTCAGTAAGGTTGAGACAAAAGTTTGAAGATGCATTATTCATCATTACATTGTAAAAATAAAATCCAAAAAAAGTCAATATTTGTAGTAACAGGAGTTGACAGACTGCCGTAGGGTGTGAAATTTCTATATTTTTTTCAAAGACCTATAATTTTCAAAACACATACATAAATTTTTTTTAAATATTTTTCTGATAGCTGTTATGACTTTGCCTATCACCCGGTTTCGGCTTGACGTCGACTTCTGGGACACCCTGTATGTATAATATGCATGTGGCATTTAGTAAATTAAACATCACAATGGAGGGGTAACATTTTATTATGAAAATAACATCATCACTACTATCGAATTTACAAAAAATAATATCTATTTAATCTCATTTACCTTATGAAATATAGATGTTAAAATAAATGTACATATTATACTGAAAGTATAAGTGTTTCATACGATATTATGAATAATAAGAAATTAAAAGGATAAATCGAATATTTATCAGTCAATTTGTAAAGCATTAAACCATTCATTATTTTTTTGATTCAAGTTGTTAAAGCAAGAGGCCAAAACTTTGTCCCTTAGTCTTCTCAAAAATAAACGTTTGTTATAGGAACGAATGCTATAACCACTTTTGAAACACTCTAGACATCCCTTGCTAGCTGCAAAGTCATATTTTTTCATAATTTCCTCGTAAAAACACAGCTTTAGTGGCAACATGGGTCCCGAAATGGGCAGAAAGTTTCTTCCACCTCTGGACGTTCAGCTTTCTTAAGTGTCTTTTGCCTGGTCCACAGTCAGTAGTTGGCACAAACGTTTTTTATTTTCTCGTGGTCCTTTTTAATTTTATAAATTGCAGATCGACACCGTATTCGTCTGATGAACGGCTTAAGGATTCATTAGGGCTTAAGCTATTCAAATTATCAATTTTTTCTTTAATTGTCAGTGTTTTGTGCTCTTGCAATTTTACCCCCTTCCAGTTCATTTCTCAACTGGTTATAGATTAGCACCACTAGAAAGCTGTTCGCTTGCAACTGAGCTACATAACAAATGCTTTCCACCACATCATAATAGGAGATATGAATATTAATATACTCCAACATACCAAATTAATAAACAAATACCTCACTGTAATGCAGAGCAATGGATTCATATCAAATATAAATTTACCAACAAGAGTTGTAAATAATAGTTCCAGTTCTTGCATTGATCATTGTTTCATCAAAAATTTTTCAAATTTCTTTCGGTACATACCGTTAATTGTTGAAAACCATATTACCGATCATTTATCCACTGTAATACTTATATCATCACCAGAAAAAAATAAAAGTAGATCCATCTCCAATAATGAAACAGTGAAATTTATGTGTTTTGTCGATAATAAAAAACTACTTGCAAATATCAAATTAGAATCGTGGACAGCAGTGTACTGTGCAACGAATGTTAATGATGCTGCAAACACACTCATTGAACGTATAAAATATTTAATTGAATGTAGTACAGAGTTAAAATTAAACATTTTGACAGAAGCAGGAATCCCTGGATAACTAAAGGTTTGATAAAGTCTGCCAACAAAAAAGAGAAACTATACAAAATAATGAAAGCACCGCCATGTGCAGATACCTCCCATAAATATAAAGAATATAAAAATATTTTTATCAATCTAGTTAGAGAAGCAAAACGCCAATTCTATCTAAAACAATTACAAGATGCCAAATCTGATCCAAGAAAACTGTGGTCAGTTGTCGATCACTTAACTAACAAAGACGTTCAAGAAAAGCCAAATATTGATGAAATTAAGAATCGTGATGGAACAATATTAACAGATAAACGACAAATATCCGATGCATTCTTAAATTTTTTCACTAATGTTGGAGAAAATTTAGCATCCAGTATTAAAAAAATGGTTTCGAACGAAAAGTTCACAAAAACCCAACTTCCCAATTCATTCTTTAATAGAAAGCGTTAGTCCAATTGAAGTACAAGAAGCTGTCCTATCACTTAAAACCAAAAAAAGTCCTGGTGTAGATGGTATCAAAGCTGACCATTTAAAAATAATAGCCTACGACTTAGCCGAACCACTTTCTTACGTCATTAATTGGTGTTTCCAATCTGGAATTTGTCCTGACGCATTTAAAACAACTGTTATTACTCCTGTTTATAAAAGCGGTAACAGAATGGAAACATCAAATTATAGACCCATATCAGTACTATCGAATATAGGCAAAATTTTCGAAAAATTACTACAAAAAAGGATATTACAATTTTTTGGACAAAAACAAAATTATATGTTCTGACCAATATGGATTTAGAAAAGGAAAATCTAGTACAGATGCAATTTTGGCTGCAATGGATGAAATTAACTCTATTGTCAACAAAAAGATACCTACTATTGGTATATTTGTTGATCTAAAAAATGCCTTTGATACGGTTAACCATGTCGAGCTTCTGAAAGTTACGGAAAGATTGGGATTTAGGGGAGCGTCACAAATCCTTTTAAAAAATTACCTTTCAAGTCGGGCACAGACTGTCAATATCAGTAACACTTACAGTAAAAAAATGTACATCAAGTGTGGTGTGCCTCAAGGAACAGTACTAGGCCCACTATTATTTAGTCTCTACTTAAATGACTTATTCAAAATTAACAGTTCTGGAAAGATTATATGTTTTGCAGATGACACCCTCGTATTATATAAAGCTGATGACTGGAGCACACTGAAGCAAATAGCTGAAAAGGATTTTATGAGGATCATTGACTGGTTTGATACTAAAATTTTAACTGTTAACTTCAAAAAAACAAAATTTATTGCAGTTACATCCTATTCAAAATTTTTACCTACCTTCGAACAAATTTCCGTTAATTATCATGGCCAAAAGACCAAAATCGATAGAGTTAACACTTTGAAATATCTTGGAATATTTATAGACTCACATCTAAGGTAGGATAACCATATTAAATATGTTAACAAAAAATTAGAAATCTTGCCTATAAACTCAAAATGCTTGCTAACATTCTTACAGAAAGTTATCTGCGAATCCTATACCATGCCTTAGTTGAAACCCATATAATATACGGCATCACAGCCTGAGGTGCCGCCTGCAAGACATATATTTCTGACCTGAATATAGCACAAAAAACTGTTTTGAATGCTATTTTCCATAAGCCAAGATTATATCCAACGAACAACTTATATCAAGAAACAGGGATACTTGATACAAGACAACTTTATTTCTTACATGCCACCACCTTACCATAAGTATTGTAATGAAAAGAAAAAATCCTATAAACACGAGCATAACACACGATTTCGAATAGGCTCATCTAATATCCAAAGACCACGCAAAACATTATTCAAAAAATCATTTAAATTCTTAGCAGCTAAATTATATAATGTAGTACCAAACGAAATAAAGATACTTAATTTTGGAAAAAAATTTAGAAGAAAATTGAAAGACTGGGTTAGTAATGTGCAGCGAATGACTATACATAATTATATAGAAAACTAAAACTACAAAATTCCAATTACATTAATACCTTTTATATTTAACAATAATTGTTATACACATATATGGTTGATTGTTAGTTATTAAGATATAAACTACACACATGCCTTCTGTGGATTTTTTCATATTTATTATAATAATAGATCGTCCAATAATATATTTAATAAAATTATTTGGACAACCTCCGATTTGAATGTTTCGGAACCGAAATCGAAATCGGAAGTTTAAAAGCAATCCGACGTTCCGACTTTTTGTACTCGGAATCGAACCTCCGTAACGACCTTGATTCAAACAATCAATCCTTTCTATTTCAGATCCCTAATTAATCTGTGATACTAATACTTAAACAAAAAAATAAAGAAACATGTCGATGATCAACTTGAGACAGAGGACCGCTCATATAGTACAAAACTACCACAATGGTATCCTATCACTGCTCCCGTACTCTTTCGGAAGCAACAAGCGGCACTACAACTGGGGACAGCCGGGAGCTATGAGGAAAAAAGACTTCCTGAGAGGAACAGAAAGACTGTTGAAGAACTTGAGGTATGCTAGCGGGATAGTCAAGTCACCTGTAGGAACCATCTCGACAATCCCGAATCAGAATCTAGTGGAATACGTCTACAGTGATATGGACGAACACATCGAAGAACCAGCAACGGTAAGTTCCCCTGTATTTACGTACCAGGTGGGTCAATAATAAAGGACACCAAATACCTCGGAAACTAAGGGTGCTGGAAGAACCTCAAATACAAAAGTTTCAGGAAATCAGATGGCGCAACTAGTGGTGACCTTGATCTTAAAGGTCATTTCAGAGGCAAGTTGATTTTGCTGCAGGAATAGAGCGCCAAAGAAATTTGATTTTCAACGGTATACATACGATAGGGGCTAAAATTATACTTAGAGGTTATTTCAAGGTCAATTGTTGCTCTTGGAATGTTGTGAAGCAGGGGATAGCTCGAAACAGAAGGATATCAAAGAAAATTGCAGCACAGCCCAACGGCACATCTGATGGTGACCTTCATTCTGACCTTGGCTATGACCTTGAAGGACAATTTAGGGTCAAATTGATTGATAGAAAAACTGTTACTACTATACTAAGTGCATATAAATCCGAAAACCCAGTTTAAATGGTTTTATTTTAATAAAAGTTGGTGAATGTATTTATCTTACTGTAAATAACAAGTGAAAAAATTTTCAGCCTTATCAATTGGACATTCCGGTTTTTATACTGCTTTTTTTTAATTCACTAACGCTCTAAAAATGAATATTTCAGCCGCAGTAAAGAATCAACGTTGGCGGATTTTGGTTCTTGACATCCTTTACGATCGGTTACGATGCCTAGAGTACGGAGACCTGTACGATTTCGTCAACTTAGTGAGTTTGATAGGGGCCGTATAGTGGGACTTCGGGAAGCTGGACTTTCTTTTCGGGCAATTGCAGTTAGAGTGCAAAGAGGTGTAGACACTGTGGTTAGGTGTTGTCAGGCATGGCTTCGAGAAGGCCGTACGCAAAGGGCAAGGGGCACTGGACGCCGCCGTAGAACAACAGACCGTGAAGATCGCCGCCTAAGATTATTGGATCTAAGGGTACCGTTTCTCCACTACCAAGTCCATTGCAAATGAATGGTTTGCAGAACACGGAAGACCTATTGGCATGCGAAGTGTTTACCGACGAATGAGAAGTTTTGGCTTGTTTTCATACCGGCCGCACTGGGTCCTCCCTTTAACTCGAGAACACCGACGTAATCGCCTTGAGTGGTGCAGACAACGGTCACTCTGGGATCAGGAATGGAACAGTATTGTCTTTAGTGACGAGTCTCGATTCTGTTTAGGCATGCACGATGGTCGTGCCAGGGTTAGAAGGCGACGTGGTTTTTTGTTGAAAGACATGTACATCACACTGTTGGAGTTATGGTTTGGGGTGCTATAGCTTATGGTTCCAGGTCACCTTTAATCTTCATCAGAGGTAACATGCACGCGCAGCGTTATATCCACGAAGTTCTAGAACCCCATCTTTTACCCTATCTTGACACCCTGGCAGATCCAACTTTCCAACAAGATAATGCCCGACCACATGTTGCAAGAGTCACAATAGACTTCTTTCAACATAATGATGTCACATTGTTACCATGGCCACCAAGATCTCCCGACTTATCCCCAATTGAGCACGTGTGGTATATGATGGGTAGGAGATTGCTCAATTTGCAACGTCCTCCTCAGACTCTAGAAGCACTTCGAGAGGAGTTGGTGGTTGCCTGGAATGAGATACCACAGGAGGACATTGACCACCTGATCAGAAGCATGCCTAGGCGCGTTGGAGAATGCGTAGCACATCAGGGTGCATCCACACATTATTAAAGGTCAAAGGGCTTTAAAGCAGTGCAATCATTTTGAAATTTTTATCATTTATGCTTCATTAACTACTTATACAAAAATTTTATTAAAATAAAACCATTTAAACTGGGTGTTCGGATTTATATGTCACTTAGTATATTATCATTATTATTATTAACTTTTGTTTGATTTTAGACATGCGCAGTGACCGGGAGAAGCTACACATACGGATTTTTGCGGATGCTGGTTAACAGGTGTGCCCAAGCCCTTTTAGGACACTGTGGACTGAAACCAAGGGACGTAATTGGGCTTTTACTGCCCAATATACCTGAATACATCATTGTGTGCCACGGCGCACTGGAAGCTGGAATTGTCGTTACTTTCGTTAACCCTCTGTATACACCAGGTGAGTCAACAGTCAAATATACATACAGTAAGTTCCCTGTATTAAAAAATGTAAACGTATTTGTCTGTAAGCAAAATTAGTATTTGTGCAGCATTGACTTAGGTTGAGACTATCGACAACTTTGTCGCACAACAACTGCAAAGGAAAAAATGCTTGCTGTAAAAACTATCTCAACGTTTGAATGGTAATAAATTATGGTAAACAATGCTGGCATGACGTTTACTTTTATGTGAAACTGTATAATTTTCTACGACCACTCCGTAATCAATAAGCAGTCAAAACAATACATTATTTAAATTATGTGGAATGTTTGCAATTTTTAGGTATTTCATTAATAATAATTATAGTACAATACAGTTCTAGGAAATTTCAACCTAATTGTTAGTGCTCGTTTTATAATTTTTGTTTTCCATTTCAATCGACGAGGAAGCAGATTAGTAATCTAGAGACCGGATTATACAGGGTTTGTCCGGAAAGTAGTAGGACTCATTTTCTTGCGTCATGACTGTACTTCGGAGCGTGCGCGCGCACCGACTGGATTCGGTAGAGGGCGTTCCTAGCTAACGAATGAGCGGCTGGTCAGTTGTCTCCGAGCACTTGGAGAGCCAGGACAGGCATTTCGCGCGACGTGTTTCTGAGTGGTGCAAGCCGAAAATGCAGCGTTAGTTAGAGCAGAGGTACGCGATTAAATTCTGTGTGAAACTCGGTAAATCTGCGACAGAGACGTTTGATATGATCAAGCAGGCTTACCCAGGTGTTGCTTTAGCAAGAAGTGGTGTGTTTCGGTGGCACCAGGCCTTTTTGGAGGGCCGGGAAGAGGTCGCTGATGAAGACCGTCCTGAAAGACCTTCGACTTCGACAAACACCGATAATGTGACTCGGGTGCGCAAAGCTTTGAACTCAGACCGTCGACTAAGTATCCATTAAATTGCCCAGATGTTAAATTTACCAAAATCTGTGGTTCATGACATTGTGACACAGCATTTCAACATGCGCAAGTTGTGCGCGAAGATGATCCCAAAAGTGCTCACTGACGACCAGAAATTGCGGCGAGTGGAAGTGTGCCAAGAAAATTTGAACATGTGTGAAAGTGACCCCCAATTTTTGAATAACGTAATCACAGGAGACGAGTCGTGGATCTTTGAGTATGATCCGGAGACAAAGAGGCAATCTTCCGAGTGGCACACGACGGCGTCTCCTCGCCCAAAAAAGGGAAGAATGAGCAAATCCAAAGTGAAAGCGATGCTCATTGTCTTTTTTGACATCAAAGGCATCGTCCACCATGAATTTGTTTGTTTTTGTTTGTTGTTTCACCACGACAATGCCCCGGCTCACACTGCCTTTCTTGTGCGCCGCGGCTCTCAAGGCTATTCCGTAGAATACCTTCAGTGACGCCTTCAATGCTTGGAAATCGCGCTGGCAGCGCTGCATCGACGCAGAAGGAGCCTATCTTGAAAGTTTTTAAAGAATTTTAACGATTGGCTCAATAAATTTTTTTAACCCTTTAACTGTTGGTGGTCCCATTGAGGACCACCTCTGTTAGGTATCAATTTTGCGTAACCGGTGCGCTAAAAATGAGCCTTGCTGACAGAACGATATGTGTGGATTAGTCGGTGGTATTTTAGAGGACCACTACTGGTGGCTGAACACGTGATCAGCGCGCGCAACTATTATGTGGTCCCTTATCGGACCACCTTGCATAACGAGCAAGCATAAAAACTGTTTTCGCGCGAAGTGTTACATTGTGTTATTTTTTTCTGACTTACTGGTGATCACGATAAAAAATATTATAAGAATTGTCATCTGCACTGTTGTAAAGGTGAATAAATTAATGTTCGAGTAAAAAGTATCAGATAAATCAATAACTTTTGTCATATAAAGGTAAGTACCACACTTCTAACCTCAAAAAGATAAATTTTGAATTTTAATTTTACATCTATATGCGACATCTTCGTTTATAGTTACATGCGTATGTTATTCAATATATGCTACTGATACTCAATACAAAGAGTGATTTTGAAATTTTATTCGGCTTACGAGTTATCGGAATTTGAATCTGGCACTTTTCTTTCAGAATATGAATTCGAAAACTAAATGGACGTTTCAAGAGCTTCAGAAAGCGACACAGGAGGAGCTTCTACAGATAGTAGCAGATTGTGAGGCAATATCCGACGCTCAGGCTATAAATTCCGATCTTGAAGGAGAAAGTGATGCCGACGACAATCTTCCATTGACAAAACAGTTTATTCCCAAGTCAAAACCTACCACCAGGGCAAAGTCAGGCATCATTGTTTCAAGAAGTGTATCAGCCAATGCTTCTACCACTTCCGGTAACGTTTATCAAGATGATTCAGATGATTCTGTAAAAGATCCCGATTATGAATATTCTGGATCAGACAGTGGATCTGAGATGACTAATGCTTGTAACAGTGGGATGAATGAATGTCAAGGAGCCTTAGACATCTCAACAAAGGACGTTGAAAATGATGAAGATGAACCAGAAGAGACAGGTGCTGATGGGGATGATGTCGAGTTCATTTGGACGAAAATTGGAAGCCAACCAAAGACCTATAAAGATTTCAACTATAATCAACCACAAGGTGTCAAGGATATAGTTGGATTGACAAATGGAACCATCGATTCACCTGTGCAGTATTTTCACGCAATATTCTCGGACGTAGTATATGATATGATTATTACCGAGTCTAACAGGTACGCAGAGCAAAAAGGAGTTGGTTTGAATTTACAACGGGATGAGTTGCAAGCGTTTTTTGGTATGCTACTGATAATGGGCTTCCATACCCTGCCAAGCCTAAGATTGTACTGGTCAACAGATCAAAACTTCCATGTAAGCCGCATAAGTAACGTAATGTCACAAAAGAGGTTTCTACATATTCTTCGCTACCTTCACCTAAACGACAATGAAGTTATGCCACAGCGAGGACAAGAGAACTTTGATAAGCTATATAAAATACGTCCACTTGTTGATATTTTGAACGAACGATTTTCAACCCTTTACGCTCCCTACAGGGAACTCTCCATTGATGAAAGCATGGTTGGTTTCAAGGGTCGTACTACGTTGAAACAGTATATGCCCATGAAACCAGTGAAAAGGGGATTTAAAGTTTGGGTGATTGCTTGTTCTCGAACCGGTTACAACTTGGGTTTCAAGATATATGAAGGCAAAGAGCAAACTGATTGGGCAGGTATAAGCCTGGGAGAAAGAACCGTTCTTACAATGTCTGATAAATATAATGGTGAGGGGCGCTGTCTCTACTTTGACAACTTTTTCAATAGTTTTCCATTGCTCAAAATGCTTCTTGCAAAAAATACATTTGCATGTGGCACACTAAGGAAAAATAAAAAGTTTTTCCCAAAAAGTAAAATGAGGAACGATAAATCCCTGAAACGTGGAGAATCTGACTATTGCATGGCCGGTGATATTTCTGTATACAAATGGAAGGATCGAGGTACCAAACCAGTCCTACTTGCTAGCAATTTTCACGATCCAAGGGAAGAAACAACTGTTCTTAGAACGAATGCCCAAGGGAATCGCGAGGAAGTTATTTGTCCAAGTGCGGTATCAGATTATAATAAATATATGCTGGGTGTGGACAAGTTTGATCAGCTCATGTCTCCATATAATGTCTCTTGGAAAAGCAGGCGATGGTGGATGAAACTTTTTTACTTTGTTTTTGATGCCTCAGTTGTAAATAGCTACATTCTCTACTCAGAAACGAAAAAACAGACTAAAGAGAAACCAATATCTCAACTACAGTATAGGAGTATTTTAGCTAATCAGCTGATCGGTTCATTCAGTGGCCGGAAATCAATGGGGCCTATACCACAAATAAACAAAAATAAAATCAACAAAATCAATGGCCGTAAGATAACCGTTGAAAATACACAGCGAATGACAAACGTGGGTCAACATTTGCCAGTCCCTGGTACAAAACGACGATGTGGGTATTGTAGTACTAAGAAAAATGTCAAGAGGACAAAAATTCAATGCAAAGAGTGCAATGTTGGACTTTGCTTACAATGTTTTGAACAGTTTCATGTAAAAAAATAAAAGTTGTTTTATTGAAAGCTATCAAACGCATTTGACTTAAACGCACCCTAAATGTGTGGTGGTCACTATAAGGACCACCACCTGGACGCCATTTTGGAAACTGTAATCAACAAAATGTCATATAAACAGTAGTTTTTGTCGCTGCTCACAAAAACTCAGGTGTTTATTACTCTTGTTGATGAAGATTGAAGTCTTGCACTATAAAGGGTTAAATCGACTCGGTACTATTACTTTCTGGACAAACCCTGTATGCATTGCATATTAAGCCTATTTTCGCTGGTTGTTGCATATTTCCACAAAAATCTAGACGTTGCAAATTTTTGCTATAATTACAACTTTTCCGGCATGTTATCTCGATAATAAATTAAATTTTACGTTGTAGGTAGACAAATTTAATAATCTCACGCTTTTTAGACGATAAGGTTTCCAATAAAAATTTTGGTAGATAAGAAGTTCGAGTGAATTCGCGCTTACATTGTATATGCGAATATGCTTCCCATGAACGACCAGCCTAAGCAGCCGCGCATCAAGGCCAAGTAGGCCACTGACGATCCACGACACCGCTCATTTCTGTTATTTACCTGCCAGTATCAAAAAGCTTGAAGCTCAAGGTTTGGCGTTGACTGAATCTATTCAATTAATTAAAAAAATCCTGCAAATGAACTCTGCATTGCCAGACGCATTCTTGTCAAAGTTTAAATATAAGTTTGAAATCATTTTAAACAATAACCCAGACTTTGAATCTTTATGTCAAAGTGAGAGCTTTATTAATGGTACTGGTGACGATTGGCCAGAGACAGTTACAGCTAGCATAGCACTCAGATCCAAATACTGTCCAGTTACTTAGAGACGTATAATAATTATTTTGAGTGATCGAAGGCACGTCTTACCGCTGAACATTTGGAACAATACCTCATTGTTTGTGTTTACAAAAATAACATGTTAAATAGATAAGTCATTCAAGTGGTTAATTATTAATTATACTAAGTGACATATAGATCCGAACACCCAGTTTAAATGGTTTCATTTTAATAAAATTTTGTATAAGTACTGAAGCATAATAAGTAAATGATAAAAATTTCAAAATGATTGCACTGCTTTAAAGCCCTTTGACCTTTAATAATGTGTGGATGCACCCTGATGTGCTACGCATTCTCCAACGCGCCCAGGCATGCTTCTGATCAGGTGGTCAATGTCCTCCTGTGGTATCTCATTCCAGTCAACCACCAATTCCTCTCGAAGTGCTTCTACAGTCTGAGGAGGACGTTGCAAATTGAGCAATCTCCTACCCATCATATGCCACACGTGCTCAATTGGGGATAAGTCGAGAGATCTTGGTGGCCATGGTAACAATGTGACATCATATAGGTCTTCCGTGTTCTGCAAACCATTCATTTGCAATGGACCTGGTAGTGGAGAAACGGTCCCTTAAGGCCAATAATCTTAGGCGGCGATCTTCACGGTCTGTTGTTCTACGGCGGCGTCCAGTGCCCCTTGCTCTTTGCGTACGGCCTTCTCGAAGCCATGCCTGACAACACCTAACCACAGTGTCTACACTTCTTTGCACTCTAACTGCAATTGCCCGAAGAGAAGGTCCAGCTTCCCGAAGTCCCACTATACGGCCCCTATCAAACTCACTAAGTTGACGAAATCGTACAGGTCTCCGTACTCTAGGCATCGTAACCGATCGTAAAGGATGTCAAGAACCAAAATCCGCCAACGTTGATTCTTTACTGCGGCAGAAATATTCATTTTTAGAGCGTTAGTGAATTAAAAAAAAGCAGTATAAAAACCGGAATGTCCAACTGATAAGGCTGAAAATTGTTTCACTTGTTATTTACAGTAAGATAAATACATTCACCAACTTTTATTAAAATAAAACCATTTAAACTGGGTGTTCGGATTTATATGTCACTTAGTATATTTATAAGCCGATTTCAAAATAAGAAGTATAAAAATCATTGTTTTATTGTTATTTAATTTTGCATATTTTGATACTTTCATGCATATTTTTACCATTTTTATGCACATTTTCATGCATATTTCATACTTTTTTTGTTGCATTATAATCCGGTCTCTAGTAATCACGAAAACTATCTAAATTGAGACCATGACATTTCTGTTGGCATGTCTGTCTGTCCAAAAATCTTTGACCCATATATAATTCAGTAAATACAGACTTTAATGGAATGAAAGTTTTATAGACTTTAATGGAATGAGAGTTTCAAAAGCAGACCATTATCTGCGGAATTATGAGCGGAAAACTATAAATCTATGGCATAGTTTGACATTTATTTTTGGAGGAGAAAATATTTTTAAAAGCTGTTTTGAAATTTTTTAACATTCTTAAAGGTGATCAAAAGTGTTCACGTGCCTAACTAAAACATTAAATAGATAAGAGATGCAATTCATGCGTGAGCAGTAGTGCATCAATCTAGTGGACTCCACTCTTTTTGGTATTATCTTGAAGGCGATCGATTTTTTTTTTGTTCGCTGTGCCGCATAGTGGACTAGAACACCGAAAACCTGACAAAAAATACAATTTCCACAGCATGTATCCAGTTTAAATCTGGGGTTAGTTTGTCTCTATGAAGGCATTTGAAGGTTAGTTCACGGTCATATACAGGGTGAGCTTTTAGTATGGATTCGGCCGATAACTCCATCATCACGCATGGTATCTAAAAAAGTTAAATACAAAAATTGTATCGCTGTAGTTTACGTACATATATTTTTTTCATGGAAATGCCTACATTTGGAAAGATCCTTCTAAACGAAACAATTGTTAAGGTACTGGGCAATCTATCGAAAAAAAAACATTCAAGTTTGACACCTCCGCAACTGTTATAGGCAAAGAGAACTGAATTTTCATTTAGAAAAATATTATGGTCCCATATTGTCTCCCTATCTACTTACCTTTTCAACTTTCTGGTTCATTTATATAGGTCAAGAACGCAACATTACACTTCAAATTTCAAGTTGAAACACCTTGTATGTTTTTACACTCTTTGATTCCTTTTTTCTTAGGCTTATGGGGGTTCGTGCAGCTGGTTTTTGAGGTACTAAAAACCACTAGCGCCCCCCTTGACTTTTCTTTTTTGGTTAATAATGTGGGATAGTTTTAATTTATAATGAAAATATACAAATTTTACCATCTGATGTCACAAACTGAATCTTATATTTATTTTAAAAGATATTGTAATATTTTTCATTTACCTTGATATACGATTTAAAAAAAAGTTAACTGTAACCCAAAAACCTTTCGTACAAGCTCCCATAATCCTTACAACAAAAAATCTTATGAAAAAGGGAATCAAATGGCTGAAAATATACAGAGTGATCCCTTAGAAAATTTTGAGAAATCAGCGTGAGATCAATTCTCACCAATAGCGTTAACAATGTCAGAATAATAATAAAGACCGCAGGTAGTAGGCTTTGTCACACTCCGGCATTGGCTAGGATCTCTGATGACCTGATGCCATTTCATCTGAGTAAGCTCCGATTTAATAAGCCCGTATAATCCATGAGATTTCAGCTTTCGCAGCAGTGTCGAAAGCTTTAGAAAAGTATGTCCAAAGCACATCTGTTTATCAGCCTCTGTCAATGTGTTCTGCTAATGCCTATGTGGTTATTAGATTTGATACAGTTGAACACATATTTTTCTGCTGATTATACAGTCTGTTATAAGTTAATACAACCAGAACTTTCTAAAATTGCACAATAATGATATAGGTCTAAAATTCATTCATTTCCGAAAATTTGTTTTTTCAATTTTTGTCACGTTTTCGATTAAATAGACCACTGTGTGCCGGGAACCTGTGATTTCCTCCCGTACTTAGGACTCACTAGTACCGTAATTTGCCAAACTACTCGTAGGTGGCAGAGTCACACATTTGTCTTCAGCACATTCACTTTTATGCATACGACGTCTTTAAATTAAATGATGAGACTGATTTCCTTCTGAAGCCACACAGCGCTGGAGATGGTTCTCCCACTCCTCATAGCAGTGCTGGAACTCCAATACCGGATACCGGAATACCCTTCAGCCGTCACATGGACTCATGTCAGGCAAATAAGGAGGCTCTTGACAAAACAATATCTCCGTCAACCTGATACCACACCGTTGCTCAAAATTGACGTCACTCTCAAGAGAGAAAACTGTTTCAAGAAAAAAACGCTACGGACAACCAAATGGCTGGAGCGAGTTCAAACTTGTACTGAAGGCGGATCACATGATCCCCTGTTTTCTCTCCAGTGTTGCCATATCGAACGTTACGTTTCCAGTCTCGTCACTTGATGCACAGACCTCGTAACAGTAAAGCGATTAAATTAATGCCTGTCCTGCTTGTTTGCTATTATTACCATATTATTTTTGCAATCTCTTCTAAATATCTTATTCTTATTTGTTACAGATGAGATTAAAAGACAGTTCGAAAACGCGGGAGTAAAAATGATTGTAACTGTACCACTTCTCCTAGAAGTAGCAACTACTGTCGGTCCACAGCTGCCAGGATACAAATCAACTTTGTGCATCGGCGGTGAAGATGATCTAGCCAATAATGTTCATGGTTTGGAAAGTCTCCTGAAATGTAAGTTAAATGATGTACTGAGAAATGTAGCGTTTTTCTGGGTTCTTTTGGGTGTGGATTGAAACACTGGATTCCATAAAAAGAAATGCACTAATTTATTTTACTCGACTAGATAGAACATTTATATACACCACTATTTATGTCTGACTACTCTGGTGTAATATGTACTCTGCTTCCATCTCTCGGCCGCCGAGTTATATATCCCCATTGCTGCTTCGAGAAAGATCTGGTGAACCACAAAGCGACATCTAGAATATTGGAGGTCACTTCGCGTCGATTTAGAAGGCGATCCTCCGGTCCTCACAGACGCCGCCAAGCGGCTTGTGCGGTAGTCGTTCGCGTAAAGGCAGAGATCAGCCATGAAGCTCTGGCGAGTGGGAGATGGCGCCAACATTACTATTCGTCTCAGAAAGTAAAGGTGATTGATTATCTCGTGAGCAAAACGGCTCTCTTGAATATACAGACTTCAGATTTTTCTGGAAACGCATCACACTAGATTACTGGCCATTCACGTTAGATCGTTGACTTTTGTCATTAGTACAAAATTATATTTAGTAACGTAACCGCCTCTGTTCACGAAATAATCGAAGAACCTATATTCTTAACGGTGTTCCAAAAACAAGGAAACAAAGCATCTGATTCTTTGGAGTTTTTTAAGACAATTTTGTCCTATGATGTTTTTAGAAATATCTCTCGAATACGGGAAATCAGTTTTCCTTAAATATGTGTTAAAGAACATTGAACTCATTCAGGGCGGACTTGCTCTTATTTTTATATTCATAGAAAGGTTAGCCGTTTAGCTGAAATAATGTATTTTTGTTTGATTTCGATAAAGTTTTTCAGAAAAATATTCTGGTTGAAACAAAGCCTAAAACTTGGTTAGGCGATTTGAAAATTCGTACAAGGAAATTTTTTGTGAAGTTCTTTCTTATCAGAATACTATACTCTCAAAATGATGTATATCGGAATCAGTATAAAAGTGAAATGAAATATTTTATTACTCTTACACTAATTAATCACAAAACACTTGCAACTAATTCATGACAAATTGATAACCATGTCGACTGGACTATAGCTTGTGACTCATCGGACGCCTGTCCGTTGATTATCTGCCTATATTTATTCCCCTATCGACGAGTCGAGAAACATTCCAGAGTTTTCCAGGACAAGTCGCGAACCTTCACGGAAGTAATCTAGATGGCTGTAGATTTCTTTATATGGCGCTCGGCGCACTCAATGAGGGTGCAATCGCTTACGCACAGTCGCGTAACTCTGGTTGCCTATGCGTTGATGTTTCAGAACACCTGTCGAATCTTCTGGTCGAAGTACGAGGGTGTCTCGTTGATACCCAGAGTTCCAGTTATACAAGGGTTTTACAATAGGTCAGGTTTTTTGTGAGTACGTCAGTCGCGATCCTCCACTGAGACTCAGAGGTCTATTGTAGCTCACACGAGCAGTCTCAGAATCAATTCCTTCGAATCGCTCACGATCTTGCAATCTGATTCCAGTCTCGGGTTATTTATTTCCTTTAGCTTCCGATTCTTTTCGGTTCCAGTTCGCTGTAATTTGTATGCAATGTAACGTAACGAAACCGACGCGAAGTATATAAAATGCAAAGGGTACTATAAGAGTTTTGCAATATGACTTAAAAAACGGACGCAGGAGGCTGCATGTTACTGCGTGTTGAGACATGTCCACGAGTGCATAGTAGCCGCCGGCAGCACGTCTGTTGATTTAGTTGTTCATTCGTATTGACATTGTAAACTGCATCGTGGTCATGTAGTGAGATAAGGGCAGCTTTACGGTATAACTTTACGCGTGGTTAAAGCATAGACTAGTGCTTAGAAGAAAGAGAAAAAGATTAAGTGCTTGACGAAAACCGGAGAGTGATACACCGACAGATAGAGGAGACCCTACACCTTCATGCACCAGCAATTCACTCAATTCTGCATGACCACTTACACGCAAGGAACCTTTGTTTTCCCTAGGTACCGCAAAGTCTGCCGAAAGAGCAGAAGACTTGTCGTACGACTTGATGCCGAAAGATGCTGAAAATGTTTGATAACGGGGAATCTCGGTATGTGAATGTGGTGGAAATTACTTTGAACGAAGCCAATAAATAAAGTTGTATTGCAAAACTGTTACAGTACCCTTTGTATTTGTGTTGTGTCTAAAGTGAAAGGTGGTAAGGACAAAAATAGAGTACAAAAAGTTGAGGCACTTTCGATAAAAGCAGAACAACTCCCTTTATTGGAGCTCTGTCGAGAGTTTAGTTTGGATATTTCCATTTATTAAATATTAACCTTTACGAACGTCTATTGTCAAGTTTTCAAAAGTGCCAACCTTATGACAATAATAATAAGGACAACTGATTCTGTCTGTCATTTAATACAATTGCTAAAAAAATCAAAATAAAGATAAGGTACACGATACAATACTAAAATAATCATGTAAAATCGATATCCCAAAAAATACAGGGTGACTTTGAAGTTGAATCATTAATTTTCAGATAATGATTGTAGAAGGAAGATAAACCAAAATATGTGTGTAAAAATAAAAAAAAAATTAAAAAAAAAATGTTACCTCTGTTTTATAAAGTACCCTCCCGACAAATATTTCAGTGCGGACCTGTATTTGATCGTGCGGTCTTGGAGCACCGGCATGCCCTCCCCTGTGAGGTCTTAAGTCACCTGATTCACGAGCCCTTTGTACTACATTAACAAAGGCACGAGGGGTTGGTTGCACTCGATTGGGAAACCGATCCGCATAGATTCGTGATGCCGCGCCAGCATTTTGTAAAGACTCCCCCTCCCCGTAAATAAGAATCATGTCCAAAAGTTCAGCATTTTCGTAAACATGTGCCATTTTTTATTTCGTTTGAGCCACGCAACAAACACCACTATTCACTCACGCGTTACCGACTGACTCATTGACTGACATCGTGATAAACGTTTCAAATTCTTTCGCTTTTTTGTTTCCGATGCGATGAACCGATAAGGCGGATTATATCCGTTGTTGCCAAACACGAGCACATAATATTATTATTGAGACAGGGCGGTACTCAAACTTCTAAAGGGCTATAACTTTGTTAATTTAATGTTACCAGAAAAATGTTAAAGGAAAAAAACATTTCTTTTGATCAGATCAGCTCACTGTTAAAATAAATGACTCAACTTCGAAGTATATATTCCGAATATTGAAAAAAAACACACCGAGCGACGTTATGCATAATGGCGTACGAAATTCAATAGCGATCTTCTTGAGTAATAGTTTACCTGTATGTATCTTATTTTGTAGCTGGCCATGAAAGTGAAATCGAAGGAATCAGCCCAAGGGAACTTGCCCTTCTCCCTTACTCCAGCGGAACCACAGGTCTCCCCAAAGGTGTAATGCTTTCGCATCACAATCTAGTAGCGAACCTTGTGCAAGTGGATCATGATGCATTTAAAAACATTCATGCAAACGGTAAGTATCAGCATAAAACTCTGGCAACTTTTTGTTGAAAACACACGGTTGTTAGATCGGGATTTTTGAATGAATTTGAACTTTTTCATCTACCTACTACTCGTATATGGGCACCATACAGGGATGCTCCACGGGAGTTAATATTAGAAGTATTTTCAAACATGGATTTATTTTCAGATGGTAGCAGACATAAAGTACTGACAGTATTGCCCTATTTCCACATCTACGGGTTCAACGCTATCATGAATCTCATGCTAAAGAGTGGAGGGCATCTTCTTTCCATTCCCAGGTTTACGCCTGAAGACTACATTAAGGCCCTGGTAGAATACAGGTAGGTACTTACAACATAAGGATAATGGCTAAAACGTCGCCATTACACATTTTTCCACTAAAATGTTTTTGATTAAATCTAAATTTTCCTTATTAAGCGCGATACATTAATTAGACCAAATCTATTTTTTAAATCTCGAAAAACAAATCGTTGTTTCTTAAGAATAGTGATACTATTCAAAAATTGCTTTTTGATGAACAATTTCGGATAACTGAAGGTAAAGTAGATAATTTGGATTTAGAAATTATCAATTAAATATGGTTTATTGAATAAAAGATCAGTATGTTTTCTAAAAATATCCCATTTTATTACTTTTTGCAACTTTACAGGAATTTGTCATTATTCCTAAAAAAACTATGCATTTCTAAAAAAATATATGACAAATAATTCGTGGTTACAGAATAAAGAGGGAAAATTTATTTTAGTAATACTACCAATGATACACAACTAACAACATTTTTAAGGCTACGTGGAACTAACAAATCAAAGGTAAGCATATAAGAAAAAACAAGTATTATACAGGGTGTTTCAGTTTATTGTTGCATAAATTTAAGATTCGATAGAACTTTTAAAGTTAATGCATAAAGTCTATATAAACATGGGTCGAAAAATGCGTGGCTTCCGAAATACAGGGTGTTTAAATTTACTTTCTAAAATAGTTTCTTTTAAATATTTCGAACAATATTTGATGTATAACAGTGAAAATTGGTATACAAGGGTTTTTTGGTACGACAAAATGTCCCATGGCGTAGTTTTACTGTAGCCGCTAGAGGGCGCTCTCTACTGTACCTGTATTGTATTAAAATGACCGAAAGTTTTTTCTTTGTGCAATTTTTTGCTGATTCTTCGCACTTTTCAACATAAAAAAGCTCTCTTGTGGATTTTCGTTATAGTTAGCCGTTTTTGAGATATTTCGATTTTTAAGGTTCGATGCATTTTTAATTATTTATGATAAAATAACGTTAAAAAGTCAGTATCTCGATAATTTTTAGAAGTAGGCTGTGCCTGCAAATATTTTTGAAATTGAAAGCAGAATAAGGTTAAATGTCAATTAGTTGACAGTTAGTTTTGTTGTCTGTTGAAACCTGAAACGTTTTTTGCAATTGTGAATGCACGAAATTTAGTTTCTTGTACCTGTTTTTTTATTGTAAGTTTTATAAAAATGCCATTTTTATTCTCCAATCAAGAGTTAGCGGATATTCTTTTTGGTATGGCTTTGTAAATGGAAACGCAGCAGAAGTAGCCAGAGAATACGCACGAAGATTTCCAAACAGACGACATCCAACTCGCTCAGTATTTGTAAGAGTGCATCGCCAAATAATTGAAAATGGTTTTGGAAATCTCCAAAGGGATCAAAACATAAATGTTCATCAGCGCAGATTTACCCGTATGATTCTGCTGAGTTTGATAGAGATCCGACGACAAGTGTTAGGAGAGTTTCTGGTGCCTTGGGAATGTTCTTAGAAATGACCATAGACGTCCTTACCATTTGCAACCTGTGCAAGGACTACCGCCAGTGGTCGGAAAACATTTTTTCAGTGGATTCTTGATAGAACTGATAATAATAGGGAGTTTTTAAGTAACGTTTTATGGACCGATGAGTCATGCTTCACTAGACGAGGAGTGGTAAATTTTCATAATCAACATATTTGGTCGCATGAAAATCCGCATGCAGTTCGGGAAAGAAATTTTCAGCATGAATTTAGTGTGAACGTGTGGATTGGTATCTACCGTAATCGACTATTTGGACCCTACCTTTTGCCTGCAAGGTTAAATGCTGCGACCTTCTTGGAATTTTTAAAGGCTGAACATGCATGTGGGATGATGTTATGTTAGATTTAAGAAAATTGGCCTGGTTCCAGCTTGATGGTTGTCCAGCTCATTATTCGAGAGTAGTTAGAAACTGGCTGGACGAAAATTATCGAGAAAGATGGATCGGCCGTGGAGGACCAGTCGCCTGGCCTCCACGATCCCCTGACCTAAATCCATTAGATTTCTTTGTGTTGGGATTTCTAAAAGAAAAAGTGTACCAGACTCCCGTAACCACAAGAGATATGCTAATAGACAGAATCAGGAATGCATGTGATGAAATAAGGCCTTATTTGAATAATGCTATACCACGTTCGATCCTTCCTAGATGTGAATTGTGTATTGAACAATTGGGTTTACATTTCGAGCAACTACTTTAGATTTTGTATGTTTGTCCTAACTATCCAATAGCATTTTAGTTGTGAATAATTAATTTAATTTATTAAAAATAATATTGGAAAACTAAACAAATTAATATTCTGTTTTTGTGTGTTTATTTGGAGTTAGGAATTATCGCTATGTTTAAAAACACAATCTAAACGATCATGTTAATTACTTGTAATGCCCAAATCGAAACTGTAAAAAAAATATTATTTTCCCATAAATAATTAAAAATGCATCGAACCTTAAAAATCGAAATATCTCAAAAACGGCTAACTATAGCGAAAACTGACAAGAGAGCTTTTTTTATGCAGAAAAGTGCGAAGAATCAGATTTTTATTCAAAAAGCAAAAACTTGTACTAAGAAAATTTTTTCGGTCATTTTAATACACTACAGGTACAGTGGAGAGCGCCCTCTAACGGCTACAGTAAAACTATGCCCATGGTTCGTTTTGTCGTACCAAAAAACCCTTGTATACCAATTTTCACTGTTATACATCAAATATTGTTCGAAATATTTAAAAAAAACTATTTTAAAAAGTAAATTTAAACACCCTGTATTTCGGAAGCCACGCATTTTTCGACCCATGTTTATATAGACTTTATGCATTAATTTTAAAAGTTCTATCGAATCTTAAAGTTATGCAACAATAAACTGAAACACCCTGTATATATTTTTACTAAATTAAGTAAGGCGCTATTTTTTTCGGAAATGGGAACCTTTCGTATGTTTTATTATATGCTTTATTTAGAGTAACTCTAGAACCTCTTTTTGTTACTTCGTTTTTCATCTACCTCAACTTTACGAAAGTCAGTCTTACTGTATGAGTTTTTGTAGAAAAATATTCCAGAATGTTGAGAATTGAAAATGTCTTTAGTCCTGATAAAATAGTCAACATTTGGAGTGGATCTGCAATTTTAACTAGTTTTTCTCGTTATTTGGATAGTGTCGCTATTCTTGAGCAGCAGCAAAATGTGTCATCCGAGAACTACGGATGCATGCAGGACTATGACGTCTGTAAATTAGGTGATAAGAACGGTATTTCCTCAATTTTTTCATGCAAATATAATTTTTGTATTGTCACACTCAAAATAACTTCTGAAGCCACATAGCGCTTTTTTCACTCTTCATAGCAATGCCGGGCCTCCGATACTGGAATCCCCTTCAGCTAGTCGATTATAGCCATTTGAGTGTTGTCGATTGTCCCAAAATGACCCTGGAACTTTGGGAAACGAAAAAAGTCGCAAGGACTCAAGTCAGGCGGATAAGGAACCTGAGGAATCACAGGAGCGTTTCTACTTGCCAAAAACACCCAGTTGTTCTTGATTGACGAACAGTGGTGGGAGTCAAATTTGGCTCTTCCCCGATCATTCCGTCAACCGACAATCTGAACTCACAAGATCCCGGATTTAGTCGATATTTTCATCACTTCTTGAAGATGAAGGTCTTCCGCTTCATGGTTCAAATTCAATCGACTCTCTGCCTTCTGAAAATGACTCGAGCGAGTTCAAACTTGTACTGAAGGCGGATCACACGTTGTCCGATCTCCCCGATCGACGCCTCCATTGTTGCCAGATCGCTCGCTACGTTGTAGTCTCATCACTTAATTTACAGACCTCCTATATAAGGATACTGGGAAACTTTAACGTCGCGTCGCGTCTATACCCGATTCGTAGCCCATTTACACACAAACAAAACACAGCATGCCCAAAAGCGAGATTGTACAGGTCCGTATGGTCTTGAAATAATCTTACAAAATAAATGATTATTTTAATAGAAAGAAATACCCATACTTTTCACAATTCTTTATTAAGTACTTGAGTCGTCGTCCGAATGGTTAATATTAATTATAATAATAATAATAATAATAATAATAATAATAATTAACGTCTTTTATTTGTAATATTCTTACAGGAGGCGAGATTTAGATTATATATCTATTCTACCATCTAACCCCCTTAACAATTCGAGATGTAAAAAAAAAAAAAAAAAAAGAATTTATTGAAAATTAATAGGCACCTGTATACAATAACGAATAATCCAAGTAAATACATAAGGAAAATATGAGGACACTTATGGGTTACAACCGATTTCGCTGCTGATCAAGAAGAACTTCTTTCACTTTTTTCTTGAATTTGGATAATGGATTGGTTTTTTTTAAACTGCGGTCTAAAGAATTATATGATTTGATCGCATTGTAAATGTATGAATTCTGAAATAGAGACGTGCTGTGGCGTGGAATTGAAAAAGTCTCTCTATATCTAATATTAATACGATGCATATTCCCTCTACGTATGAATTTGATTACTATATATGACGGTGTTTTTGAATAAAGAACCTTATGAGTCAGATTTAGGAGCTGGTACTTATACATTTTATCAATTTTCATCCATTTGAGTTCATTAATGGCATTCGATATATGATCGTATTTTCTGAGATCATTTACAAGCCTGCAACATGTATTCATAATACTTTGAATACGATTTCTTGTTATAATATCTAAATAGGGATAGTAAACCACTAAGCAATATGATATCTTTGAAAATACGAAATATTCACACAATTGCTTTCTTGCAGATTTATGTAATATAGCCTTATTTGCAAATAAAACTCTGAGAATAGCGTAGCACTGCGTAATTAGATAGTTCACGTGTGCAACAAATTTTAAGTCATCATCCATTATAATACCTAGGTTTTTTGAATGATCCACAGGAATTAATTTATTACCTTTTAAATGTATCTCTATGTCCTTTTTTAAGGTATTCTTTTTTGTTCTATTTGCGTATACCAACATATTTGTCTTCAAAGGGTTCAAACGAAGATTATGACTACTACTGAACTTTTCAATTTGGGCAAGATCTTGATTAATTTTATTATTTGCGGTTTCTAAGTCATTACTCCTAAATGAATAGAAAATTTGAGTATCATCTGCAAAAAATTGTATGCTGCATGATTTTACCTCTGTTTCTAAATCTGAGATATATAATGAAAATAATAGCGGTCCTAAGACTGACCCCTGTGGTACACCAGAACAAATTTTTTGTTCCGTAGAGTACTGTTGATTTAGACGAACTTTTTGATACCGATTTTCAAGGTAGGTTTGAATAAACGAAAGAGGTTTTTCAGAAAATCCATAGTAACTGCATTTAGATACAAGAAGCGAGTGATTAATGGTGTCAAATGCTTTAGTAAAGTCAAGAAGTATGAGAGCTACTGCTTTTTGGTTATCAAGTGCCATTGTTATATTGTCTGTTAAATCACAGAGTGCCGAAGCTGTATTATGACCTTGTCGAAATCCAGATTGTTTAGATGGAATAATTTTGTTAGAATATAAGTAGGCGCACAGCTGTTCGTAAACAACGCGTTCCAATACTTTAGAGAAAATTGGCAGTAGACTGATCGGTCTCAGTTGACCATAGTTAGTAGGATCAGAACACTTAGGTAGCGGAATAACTATAGCGCGTTTCCACTGATTGGGGAAATATTCCCTCTCTAAACAGCAGTTTATAATATGCGTTAAGAAGACATCAATTTCAGGTATACATAGTAGTATCATATGCAAAGTTATTTCATCTGTACCACTAGAATTTGATTTTATTTTATGTATAATTTTAACAACGGTGTCAATAGTCACTTTATTAAATTGAAATTTGAATTTTGAGTTATTTTTATTAGCTCGGTAATATGCAATTTTATCAGCACAAGCCAAATCACTATTCTCGAAAATTGAAATGAATGCCTCATTTATTTTATACGGATCGGACAAGCTCACGGGAATTGCAGAATCTTTCTGAGATTGTACTTTGAAAGTCTTTAGGGTCTTATAAAACTTTTTTATATCCTGATTTTGAACAGCTTGTAAATAATCTCTTTTTCCTCTTCGCACGAGCGTTAATGCACGATTTCTGAAATATGTATACTGTTGCCAAGAGGCGGCTGTACGATCACGTTTGAACTTTGACAAAGCTTCAGCCCTCTGCCTGAATACAAGTTTAATATTATCATCCAACCAAGGAGCAGGAGCTTTGTTTACACGCACTACCTTTTTTGGACAGTGAACATTAAATAAGTATAAAATACTATCTGTTAAAAAGTTAATTTTATCTTCAATGTCATCTATCGATATAATATGCCACCATGGAAAACTCTTGAGATCTTGTTCAAACGCTATTTCATTTAAACTATGGAAATCCCTGAATGTAACAAATTTCTGTTGATTTTTAGGAAGTGCAATACGTATATCACAGAAGGTTAAATAGTGATCAGTAATCATATCAGCATTAATAGTGCCACTCCTAAGACAACTTTCAGGCTTGCTCAAAGAAATAGGATCTAAGAGAGTGAGTGTCGATTCAGTTATTCTAGTCGGTTCAGATATCACCTGTTTCAGATTATAAGAATCAAGGCATTTGGTCAAGTTGTTACAAACTAAAAGCAAATTAACATTGATATCCCCTGCAAGGATGATATCATCATATTCAGCTAATATGGCAGGCAACATGTTATCAAAGGTATTACCGGCTTCTGTAACAGAGCTATGTGGGGGCCGATAGAATATACCAATAGCAATTTTTTGTTTTGGAAGCTGCACCTTCAACCATATATATTCAAGACTTGGGTCTTGCCCAAATGAAATTATGGAAGAGTTGTAGTGGTTGTTTTCAAAGACTGCAACCCCACCACCTCGCCCATCTCTATCACAGCGATAGCAGTTGTATCCATTCATTCTTATATGGTCATTAGATATATCTTTTGATAGCCACGTTTCCGATATTCCAACAATATCAAGGTTGTTGTTTTGAACCAGTGTACTAAATTCATGAAATCCTGATAAAACTGATCTGCAGTTTATATGACCAAATTTTAAAACCTTGAATTTATCACTATTCATATTCAATTCTAGATTTCAAGTATGTAACATATTTTTTATAAGTTGGACAATCCAAGTCTTTAGAAGAATGACTAGTATCAAATTGAGTGTTGAATTTAGAATTGTGATTCATACAGTTTGAACAATTCTTAAAAGCAGATTTACAATTTTTTTCCAAATGATCTCCAGCACATAAAGGACATGATACTTTAGAATGTATGCAATTTTCTTCCATGTGGCCAAAACCTGAACATTTATAGCAGCGTATAATTCGTACATAATCCCGCACAGGACATCTTTGCCAACCCATGTATATATGACCTCTATCTAGCAACGTTTTTCTAAATTTTGGGCTAACCTCAATGACAACATTTAAAGTAGATTCGGAACATCTGAAAGTGGTTACAGTTTTTATATCATCACTACTGAAAATACCAAATTCATTCTGGGACAAGATCTTCTCGATTAATTAATAATTAATTAATTATAGGTTCAATTTAAATATCGATCATATTGTCCATCTTTGTTTCGATTGCCCCTTGAACGTGACGGATGCAAAGTTTCCAATGGTTAGCCGTCACTCTGTTGACAGCTTCATAAAATAAATTTTTCACGTCACAAAATTTAAATGTTCTTTTGTTTGAAGCCACATAGTTTTTTATATTTACCCAAATCATTTCATTGGGATTTATTTCGCAGTGATAGGGGGTAGGCTTAAATCGGTCTTATTTTGGTTTTTAGCCATTTCGTCAATAATATTTATATTTGTGCTGCCTGGCCAGTTGGAAAAGTTCTGCTTTGCCCATATTTTCATTGAATGTCTTTTGATAGGAGCCATTTTTGAATTTCTGTCTTTCTTGTGGACATTGTGGGAATTTTTTCTAGTTTTCTAGTGTGGTTTGCACCATTATCAAGTACAATGACGGCCTTTTCAACAAGTTTTGAGAGCGTTTTTTCAAAGAATCATTCAAATGAACTTCCATACATTGCTTCATGATAGTCGGGCGTTTTCTTTAACTCAAATGGTCATAAGGCAGTAGGCACAAAGCCATCGTCACTGCCAATGTGACAGATAACAAATCGTTTTCATTTTCCGGGAAATAATTATTTCATATAGTATTCAAGAATACTAATAATGATACAAGCAGAGTGTTGGTTCCAAATCTAACAAGTTTAGTGTACTTGATCCCATTTTTCCATCACAAATGACGAATTGGTTAGATACATGCACCTGACGGATTATTTAGGTCAGTGGTCAGTGGTTTGCCGTTCAGCATCTTTGTGAAAGGACGAATAGGGTATAGTTTCGACTACATTTTGTTTATAATTTTGTTTTCAGGCCTACTTTCCTATTCGTCGTGCCATCACTTCTGCTGTTTCTTGCCACACATCCTTCGGTCACGAAGGATCACTTATCATCCATTGAAGCAATCCAGTCTGGTGCTGCCCCTCTCTCCGAGGGTCAAATACAAAAGTTCAGGGAAAAGATTGGCAAAGACGATGTACTTATCAGACAAGGTAATGTGAAAATCTGCCAACTATTCATAGGCTATTTAGCTCTATATGACGATTTTATAAGAACTAAAGTTACGGAGAAGAGAAAATCTCCCTTCAGCTAGAATGCAGGACTCCAAATTTCTCCATGGATACATGTTTTAATTGATGTCTAAAAATACTTACTCAGTCTTTATTATGGATTAAATAAACTATCACAATGTGAAAAACTATCACGTTTTTGAATACTAGTCAAAATAAGACAGCAATGTAATCGATCAAATGCCATTATTTTAAAAACAAAATAGGGCACTAGCGCACCAATTCCAAATTATTGCGTTATGCCACAAATGATTGAAAATGGTTTTTATTTTTTACGCGAAAACGGTGCATGGGACGGAAAAAAGTCACATTTATTGCAAAATAAACGAGGATTTCAAAAATGATTTTTATTTTTGGAACCATATTTTTTGAAATATCTCCAGTGCGCCACTGGTAGACATATTAAAAAATGTTCTACATCAGAAATGCTTATTGGAGCTTAGTACCTGAGAAAATGATTTTTTTGAAATCTTAACACACTGTAGCTTAAAAGTTAACAGGTTTAGGACATATGTTTTCTTTCTAAAATGAGATAAGGAATCATATGATGTATTTTTGCCATCAATTAAATTACACCCTGTATAGTAAATGCCTGATTTCATTTTCTACTGGAGTAGCCTCATGTAGATTGAACAAGGAAGTTCAAGTCGGGTGATCCAACAAGCCGGAAGCGAAATCCCCTTCGATCTAACCAACGATCTATGTTTCTGTTAAAAACGATCATCCATACTGAACTTTTCAGATGTATAACTTATTGCCTCTTGATATAATAATAACAACCAATTGCATTATTTACTATCTAATTTGATCAAAAAAAATATTTTTTTCCAGGATACGGCATGACTGAGAGTTCTCCAGTTACCTTCTGCATGCCCAGGATAACTCCTCCATCCAAAATAGGCACTATTGGAGTACCTTTACCGGCTACAGAAGCGAAAATTCTCAGTCTAACAAACGGAGAAACCCTAGGAACACACGAATCCGGTGAACTTTTAGTGAGAGGGCCCCAGGTAAGCTATTCCATATTGATTTCAAAAAACGCCAATACATAGGTTAACAGCAATCAAAATCCAATATTCAATTCCGCAATCTGGTCCAAACCCATTTCTATTTTGAAACTAACAACATTTTGAGGGAAATATTAACCAAACAATAAAATAATACTACATAGCTTGATTTCCAGTTTTCTTGCCGATGTACAATAGTTTTTTACCTAACAAGTGCTGAAAGTGAAAATACCCTTTCGGCAAGTGTTTTTCTACTTAACGTGCGGAAAGTACTCACTTTCAATCCGCATCTGCGTGCGGAAAAGTTGTTGAAAGTGAGTACTTTCCGCGCGCTGATAGAAGAAGATACATAAATACCTACCTATTAAACTTAATAACCCTGGAAGCTCGTTTTCAATTGTAGTGAAGAATTCCTTAACCTGATTTTTCGATTTTCAGGTAATGATGGGTTATTTAAACAATGAACAAGCGACTGCAGATACTATTGACGAAGAAGGATGGTTACATACCGGAGACGTGGCTTACTATGACGAAGATGCGTACTTCTACATTGTTGATAGATGCAAAGAACTGATCAAGGTGAAAGGAAACCAGGTAAGTAGTAACAATTGACAACTCAGTGAGGATCACACCAATATCTAAAGATACATGTGACCCAATTATGTGCTGAAACGTTTTGCTGACATCGAAAGTAGCAAATCGAGGCTTAATGCCGACGATGGCCAATTGTGCTCCCGCTAGGTTGAGGGTCAAATTGGCAAAGGTAGATGCGAGAAGGACATATTTGATAGAAAACTAATCTATTTCCAGGACTTCACATTTTGACATATACTAAGTGACATATAAATCCGAACACCCAGTTTAAATGGTTTTATTTTAATAAAAGTTGGTAAATATATTTATCTTACTGTATAGTAAATAACAAGTGAAAAAATGTTCAGCCTTATCAGTTGGACATTCCGGTTTTTATACTGCTTTTTTGTAATTCACTAACGCTCTAAAAATGAATATTTCAGCCGCAGTAAAGAATCAACGTTGGCGGATTTTGGTTCTTGACATCCTTTACGATCGGTTACGATGCCTAGAAGCTGGACTTTCTTTTCGGGCAATTGCAGTTAGAGTGCAAAGAAGTGTAGACACTGTGGTTAGGTGTTGTCAGGCATGGCTTCGAGAAGGCCGTACGCAAAGAGCAAGGGGCACTGGACGCCGCCGTAGAACAACAGACCGTGAAGATCGCCGCCTAAGATTATTGGCCTTAAGGGACCGTTTCTCCACTACCAGGTCCATTGCAAATGAATGGTTTGCAGAACACGGAAGACCTATTGGCATGCGAAGTGTTTACCGACGAATGAGAAGTTTTGGCTTGTTTTCATACCGGCCACACTGGGTCCTCCCTTTAACTCGAGAACACCGACGTAATCACCTTGAGTGGTGCAGACAACGGACACTCTGGGATCAGGAATGGAACAGTATTGTCTTTAGTGACGAGTCTCGATTTTGTTTAGGCATGCACGATGGTCGTGCCAGGGTTAGAAGGCGACGTGGTGAAAGGAGGAATCCACATTTTTTTGTTGAAAGACATGTTCATCACACTGTTGGAGTTATGGTTTGGGGTGCTATAGCTTATGGTTCCAGGTCACCTTTAATCTTCATCAGAGGTAACATGAACGCGCAGCGTTATATCCACGAAGTTCTAGAACCCCTTCTTTTACCCTATCTTGACACCCTGGCATATCCAACTTTCCATCAAGATAATGCCCGACCACATGTTGCAAGAGTCACAATAGACTTCTTTCAACATAATGATGTCACATTGTTACCATGGCCACCAAGATCTCCCGACTTATCCCCAATTGAGCACCTGTGGGATATGATGGGTAGGAGATTGCTCAATTTGCAACGTCCTCCTCAGACTCTAGAAGCACTTCGAGAGGAGTTGGTGGTTGCCTGGAATGAGATACCACAGGAGGACATTGACCACCTGATCAGAAGCATGCCTAGGTGCGTTGGAGAATGCGTAGCACATCAGGGTGCATCCACACATTATTAAAGGTCAAAGGGCTTTAAAGCAGTGCAATCATTTTGAAATTTTTATCATTCACTTATTATGCTTCATTAAGTACTTATACAAAATTTTATTAAAATAAAACCATTTAAACTGGGTGTTCGGATTTATATGTCACTTAGTATATATTGACGTAAACAGCTATAGACGAAAAAGACATATTTGACGTCCACTTCGATGAGCAATTGGCATTTTTAACTGTACATAACCTTAGTCATGGCCCCAACCTCACTAGCGCCCTCTTCGTTAGCTTTCCATATTAGCCCCCATTGGGTTCAGAATAGGTAGGTAACCTCAAATTACATCTCCAAATACAAAACTGACATTCTGTAAATGGTTGATGATGGAATTTTACTTTGGAATGCTGTATAACTTTATTTTTAGAACGCCTAAATTATTGCAGAGTCACGTAATGGCACTTTGTGACTGACTGATAATTTCTAACTAGGTTTCAGCGATAAAAAAATGCTCCGGCTACGAGGTAGCCCATTTATCGTGAAAAATATATAGTCTGCCAATCTGATGCACTTTTCAAAATCAAATAAGGTAAACAACATTTGTATTCCCAATTTTTTTAATACGGAAGTAAAAGTGTCGCATAGAAGTACGTCAAAAACTACGACAGCTGAAATTCTTATACAGTAGTCCAAAGTACACTATGTAACGATTGTGATTGTAAACGACAAATATGCATTTTATGTCATGTTTCTTACTCCCTCCAAAACTGAAATTTTACATTACATGTACTGAGACCGTGGACCTTATACAGGGTGGGCCATAAAGGTGTTGGCATCTTCAATATCCAGTTAGAAAATAACTACGCAATATAAAAGAAAAATAAATGTATTTTTAAAAAGTAGTAAGGTATGAATTTTTAAGACTGAAAAATAATGTTCAAATGTTTCTCCGGCTGCTTGGCACTCTTGAAACTGAAGCTGCAGATTTTGGAAAACTCGCTGAAAAGTTGTTTTCGGTATTTTGCTACTTTCCTGAACAATATTCATCATTAGCTGCTTAGTTGGATTATTCTCGTAGACCACCGATTTGAGGTAGCCGCTAGGAAATAATCGCATGGTGGCCATTCAATATCCCCTCTTTTCGAAATGAGTTTTCCGGGAAAGACATTTTTCAGCAACTCTATAGATACCCTAGCTGTATGACATGTTGTTGAAACCACATTCTAGAGGTATTGCCTCGAGTTCTTGCAAAGCTGGCACTGAAAAGTGTGTTATCATATTGCAATAATTGTTAGCTTTAACTGTCATCGCTTACCTTCTTTCGTCCTCAAAAAAGTACGGTCAGATAACACCGGTTGACCTAATTCCAGCCCACACGACTAGTTTAGGGCTGTGAAGTGGACGTTCATGCAAGCGTCGGGGATTAGTTTCGTAATAGAAGCGACAATTTTGTTTGTTAACATGGCCGTGAAAATTGTTAAAACTGTAGAATCGGTCGAGCATCAAATTGACAAAGTTATTTCGGTTATTCGCATCATCTGGTTTCAATTCTTAGACTAGTTGAATCTTATAAACCTTCAAATGCAAATCACGCTTCAAAATTTGCCGCAAGCTCGTTCTTTTGATGTCCAAAGCCTGACTTCTCTTACGTGTTGACTGTTGCGGATTTCGCTGAACGAACACGCTCTACATTGTCGGCTGATCTTGCAGAAACTGGACGACCACGAGCTCTTATTGTTACTGTGCCGATTATTTCCATATTATATTGTAGTACAAAAGTCTTCCATTAGGAATACCATTCGGCAATAATCTTCACGCCAGCTTCTTCAAAATATACTAAGTGACATATAAATCCGAACACCCAGTTTAAATGGTTTTATTTTAATAAAAATTGGTGAATGTATTTATCTTACTGTAAATAACAAGTGAAAAAATTTTCAGCCTTATCAGTTGGACATTCCGGTTTTTATACTGCTTTTTTTAATTCACTAACGCTCTAAAAATGAATATTACAGCCGCAGTAAAGAATCAACGTTGGCGGATTTTGGTTCTTGACATCCTTTACGATCGGTTACGATGCCTAGAGTACGGAGACCTGTACGATTTCGTCAACTTAGTGAGTTTGATAGGGGCCGTATAGTGGGACTTCGGGAAGCTGGACTTTCTTTTCGGGCAATTGCAGTTAGAGTGTAAGAGTGCAAAGAAGTGTAGACACTGTGGTTAGGTGTTGTCAGGCATGGCTTCGAGAAGGCCGTACGCAAAGAGCAAGGGGCACTGGACGTCGCCGTAGAACAACAGACCGTGAAGATCGCCGCCTAAGATTATTGGCCTTAAGGGACCGTTTCTCCACTACCAGGTCCATTGCAAATGAATGGTTTGCAGAACACGGAAGACCTATTGGCATGCGAAGTGTTTACCGACGAATGAGAAGTTTTGGCTTGTTTTCATACCGGCCACACTGGGTCCTCCCTTTAACTCGAGAACACCGACGTAATCGCCTTGAGTGGTGCAGTCAACGGTCACTCTGGGATCAGGAATGGAACAGTATTGTCTTTAGTGGCGAGTCTCGATTTTGTTTAGGCATGCACGATGGTCGTGTCAGGGTTAGAAGGCGACGTGGTGAAAGGAGGAATCCACGGTTTTTTGTTGAAAGACATGTTCATCACACTGCTGGAGTTATGGTTTGGGGTGCTATAGCTTATGGTTCCAGGTCACCTTTAATCTTCATAACGAGCAGCGTTATATCCACGAAGTTCTAGAACCCCATCCTTTACCCTATCTTGACACCCTGGCAGATCTAACTTTCCAACAAGATAATGCCTGACCACATGTTGCAAGAGTCACAATAGACTTCTTTCAACATAATGATGTCACATTGTTACCATGGCCACCAAGATCTCCCGACTTATCCCCTATTGAGCACGTGTGGGATATGATGGGTAGGAGATTGCTCAATTGGCAACGTCCTCCTCAGACTTTAGAAGCACTTCGAGAGGAGTTGGTGGTTGCCTGGAATGAGATACCACAGGAGGATATTGACCACCTGATCAGAAGCATTCCTAGGCGCGTTGGAGAATGCGTAGCATATCAGGGTGCATCCACACATTATTAAAGGTCAAAGGGCTTTAAAGCAGCGCAATCATTTTGAAATGTTTATCATTTACTTATTATGCTTCATTAAGTACTTTTTATTAAAATAAAACCATTTAAACTGGGTGTTCGGATTTATATGTCACTTAGTATATATGGTTCTTTGGAAGACAAGGCTTCAGTCGCTTCAAACTGAAGGTTAAGTATTTAAGGGCACATTTCTATTAGAGCCTGTTGTAGTATATGGCAACTCCCTGACATGGCGAGGATTTTGACGTCTGTTGCCACAAGTTGTCACGCCAGAGAGCTGTTATGTATTTTGATAAGTCAGTTTAGTGAGGTGGAGTTCTAACTTACAGTTTAAGCGGGCTTGGAATACGAAGATCTAATAAGTATTCCAAGTATGATAATACAGTTTCTGCATACATCAAAAAGCATATTCGACACAAAGTTATAGACTCAACAGACAGGTAAGTTCCAAACCTAATACCAATCATGGACGCCGTTTGAAAAGAAGAAACGAAACATTTCGTTATACTGGTATTTTGCATAGATTTTAATACAGGTGGGTATAATTGTGAAGCAGTTCTGGAAAATTCTTCCTACCCGGTTTATTTGACTTATAACCTTAATCAAATTTTGTGAAAGTGTATGACAAGCGCTAGTGAACCTGTCGCATTTATGCGAAAATTGCACAAAAAACGAAGCAACTGAAATGAACGATATTCATAACATGTTTCAAAGTTAATATCTTAAATAACAAGTTGGTCATGGAAACTGGAAGAACTTTGCTTATACCAAATTTATTTTTTTTGTACGACGAAATTCGAGAGGTTCTGCATTTTACGTACGTTATGTTGTATGTTGAAAAATTGTGAATATCTGAATATGGATTTTAATACGGGTACAAACTTTCATGAAGTGTAATAACTCCACTTGTTATTTTATTCATGACCACCCTTGGAAGGATTAGAGGAAAGGAACCAAATTTGAGACAAGCGCCTAATTTGAGACAGTGGTGTAACTTTGTATCATTGAAGCACCATCTTCTAGTAATACCAAAAAGTTGTGAACTAAGACGCAATAGTTTTCTACATGTGTTTACAGTTTAGTTTTGCACATGGTTTGCTGTGACATCACAACTTGTTACTTCTTGAGAGTTAAAAATATTTTTAATGGTGTGAGAAAAGTGATTACTAAAATAAGGTAAATTACTAAGAACAATTATCTGATATAAATTTAGTAGTTTGCAAATACCTTATTTATTTTCTTTTACAATATTGTGATTTTATTGGGTATATAACCTAAATATACTAAGTGACATATAAATCCGAACACCCAGTTTAAATGGTTTTATTTTAATAAAATTTTGTATAAGTACTTAATGAAGCATAATAAGTAAATGATAAAAATTTCAAAATGATTGCACTGCTTTAAAGCCCTTTGACCTTTAATAATATGTGGATGCACCCTGATGTGCTACGCATTCTCCAACGCGCCTAGGCATGCTTCTGATCAGGTGGTCAATGTCCTCCTGTGGTATCTCATTCCAGGCAACCACCAACTCCTCTCGAAGTGCTTCTGGAGTCTGAGGAGGACGTTGCAAATTCAGCAATCTCCTACCCATCATATCCCACACGTGCTCAATTGGGGATAAGTCGGGAGATCTTGGTGGCCATGGTAACAATGTGACATCATTATGTTGAAAGAAGTCTATTGTGACTCTTGCAACATGTGGTCGGGCATTATCTTGTTGGAAAGTTGGATCTGCCAGGGTGTCAAGATAGGGTAAAAGATGGGGTTCTAGAACTTCGTGGATATAACGCTGCGTGTTCATGTTACCTCTGATGAAGATTAAAGGTGACCTGGAACCATAAGCTATAGCACCCCAAACCATAACTCCAACAGTGTGATGAACATGTCTTTCAACAAAAAACTGGATTCCTCCTTTCACCACGTCGCCTTCTAACCCTGGCACGACCATCGTGCATGCCTAAACAAAATCGAGACTCGTCACTAAAGACAATACTGTTCCATTCCTGATCCTAGAGTGACCGTTGTCTGCACCACTCAAGGTGATTACGTCGGTGTTCTCGAGTTAAAGGGATTACCCAGTGTGACCGGTATGAAAATTCCTAATTTGAGATACTCAAGTGTTCCTAATTTGACACTCAAATTAGGGCCCTGTATCAAGATGCAGATGCCCGAAAACACAAAAAGTGGAACCCAAATGACATGATAAAGTCCATCAAAGCTGTAAAGAATAAGGAGATTGGTTATTTAAAAGCTTCAAAAGGATTCGGATAGATACCTTCCCTCTCCAGTTCAAGTTCAGAATGCAGCGGGAAGCCTTAAGTTAGATGATTCATCTTCAGACGAAAGCGGTGAAAGTGATGCTGAATGTTTATTTTGTACGGGTCGATTTTCCGAAGATAAGAAGGATGAAAAATGGGCAGAATGCAGCCATTGTAGTAGATGGGCACATGAAGATTGTGAAGAGATTTTACCAATAAAATTTTCACTTTCTGCAAAGAACACGGATTTTTTTAATAGTATCTCAAATTAGAGCGGTAAATTCACAAAAATATTTACTTCTCTTAAAATATACGTTTTGTCAGTAAAAAAATACATTTAATATTATTTTTTTATTTTAGAGTATGCTAGCAGCATCAAATCGCAAGTTTATTTAAAACTATACACTAGTTTAAAACAACAAGTGCTACAGTATATTCAGATAAGAGATAGACCGGATGTAAACAAAAGGTTCGGGTGATTTTCACGCTAACGCTGCCGTCTCGACGTAAAACAGGAGCCCTCATTGGTCAATTCGCAATTAAATGCCTATGCCGAGCGGCAAAGCAGTCGTATCAAGGCAGAGTCACATTCAGGTTCAGACGTGTTATTGATTGTTATTGTTATCAACTGCTTGCGCAAAATGCCCAGTAGTACAGATACTGCCGATGAAGTTGTAAACTCCTGTAGTCCACCTAGGAAACGCTCTAAAAAAAGACACCTGAGTGCAGAAATGAAAGAGGTCATTTTGAATATATATATAAGATCGAGCGCGAGGAGAACGAGGCATCAACCATCAAAGAAATTGTTGTGAAGGTTTCTCACAAAGTTGGGGTGTGTCGCGCATCAGTGTTTAATGTGTTAAGACAATACAAAAAAATCACACCTTTTCTGAGCCAATGACCAGTAAACATCGCAAAAGTATTGTTAAATCATTGGATGAAGCTGATAAGCATGCGATTAGGAGGAAAGTGCATGAATTCTTCTTTAGGAACGAAATAACTACTAAAGATAAAGTACTGCAGGAGATAAATGGAGATACAACGTTGCCAAATTTCAAACGATCAACTTTCCATGCGTTACTGAAGCATTTAAATTTCAAATGGAAAAAACAGGGTCGTAATAGTTATATTATATATAGTGGATAGAGAAGAAATTGTGCTATGGAGGAGGGATTATTTAACAAGGGTAAATACGAGTAATAGACAACAATCGGATGTTTTTCAAACCTTGGGAACAAGGTTCTAAACATTAATTCCAGGGGGCAGATAAAACATATTACAAGTAACAAAACTTTTATAACTTTCGATAAAATGCGTGGATGTTTTATTGTCATTTTCATTTGTTAGAACTTTTTTAAGCCATGTTTTTATGTGTTTTCGATATTTCAATAATTTTTCAATATAATCTTAAAATATGTCGAATATTATAAACTTAAAAAAAGTTACTAAGTTTTATATTGTGTACCGTTCCTAATATTTCTAATCATTTTAATTCATACTTTAAGCTTTATAAAGTTATAATTTGTTAATATTAATATTTGCGCGTATTTCAGGTTCCTGATCATTCATTTTTTAAAGGTTTATAACTTTAAATTAAATTGTGAAGCGCTGAGTAATCATACGACGTTCAATATTCTTTCTTTCAATATGACTAAATAATCCCAATTATAGCAATCTGATACTCATGTCTCAATGTTTTTTCGCTGAATGTGATGAAAACATTTGAAAAAGGTTCGCTTATTGAAATAAATCTACACCAGTTAGTACTTCGATTTCCAGGTAAAGGGAAAAGGCTCATTATCTGCCATATTGCCAGTGAGGATGGATTTGTTGTTGACGGTCTGTGGTGCTTTGAGTCTAAGAAAACTGGAGATTACCACGAGGAAATGAATGGCGAATCGTTTGAACAGTGGTTTTCAAAAATTTTACCGAACTTAGAGGAAAACGCAGTAATTGTGTTGGATAATGCGCCTTATCATTCTCGAAGAATGGAGAAGGTCCCAACAACGGCTTCAAGGAAAGTTGATGTTCAAAATTGGCTCCGCTCGAAAAATATCAACTTTGAAGAAGCAATGCTGAAAGTACAATTATTAAGAATTGTCAAGGATCACAAGGCGGAATATCAAAAATACGCCATTGACGAAATGGCAGCAAGTCAAAATAAAACTGTGCTCCGTTTACCTCCATACCATTGCGAGCTCAATCCCATTGAGCTCATATGGGCAGAGGTTAAAAATTATATAGCTAAGCACAATACAACTTTTAAATTTTGTGACCTCAAAGGACTTTTCAAATAAGCACTAGAATTAATAACAGCGCAAAAATGGGAAAACTGTATTAAGCACGTGAAAGACAAAGTTGAAAAGAGAATGTGGGAACTGGACAATATTTTAGAGGAACAAGTCGAGCCATTCATTATTGACGTTGGTGCTTCAGGCAGTAGCGATGATGAAAGCTCATCAAGCTCATCTTTCCAATAAAAGATGTCGTTCATCAAATTCGGTAAGTTATAAGTAATTATAAAGCTACTGTATTTTTTAATTAATTATTGACATTTTTGAACCCATTTTGGCAAAACCTATTCAAGAATCTACTTTCTGACAATGTTCAACCATGCACATTTTTTTACGTTTTGAACGTTTTAATTTGGTTACATATTTACCTAGAAATCAAAAATATACTAATCAATATTCTAAAAGCAATTTTAAGAGATATACGATTATTTTTAATTTAGGCTAATGGCCACATGATCCTATATCCATCACCAATGGTATAGACATCGAATTGTGCTAATTTACTACAAAGTTACGCAAAGCAGCATCTACTATCTAAAATATGTACTGCGTGACTCTTAATACGTCCCTGCCGAATGTTACAGCGTTCGATGATCACGTGGTCTTGTTTATGTCTGGTCTATCTCTTATCTGAATATACTGTAAATTTTTTTTTTTAAAGTATCTCAAATATGGTTCCTTTCCTCTATTACTTTCCTTCAATTTTTGTGATTATCTGATTCAATACGGTTCCGTTATTTGCTCGAATGGGATTTAATATGCTTGTGAATCTTGAATTTGTCTGATGGCTTGAGTTTAACGTGTACGAGAGAGAGAGAGAATATGTTACACCAGAAAATTTTCGCACAGGCTTCTACAACAGGTTAGGTTACTTAACATTTAATATGCTAAATGACATAGAAAATGTAACACCAACTAAGAGTGCTATTACTTTGAGCAATGTTTTAGGTCTGCTGATAAATAGAAACTGATTAAAATGTTAACCCAAAATAGCAGAAATATCCAACCTTAATTTTAATAATGTGTTGAAGCTCCTCTGTTCGCTACACATTCGTCAAGTCGTCGCAGCAATGATTGGATTAGGTGATTGATGTCTTCTTGGTGTATTGTATCTCAGGCCATTTGAATTTGGTTCCGTAGAGCCTCCATTGGTCGATGGGGGAAAGGTCTGGTGATCGAGGAGACCACTGAGCATATTTACTCCGGAAGCTACTAAAACCCCTAAACTAACACTTACGACATGAGGTCGTGCATTGTCCTGCTGAAAAAGTGGATCTTGCAATGTTTCTAAAAAGGGAAGCAGATGTGGTTGCAAAACTTCGTGGATATAGTGCTGGGCAGTCGAGTGAACACTTATCGTGACCTGCTGTAATTTTGAAATTTGTTTTTTTCATAATCTGATACACATATTACAGGTATACGTACTGTGTAGGCATGTGTAAAAACCGTAAATTATTTGGCAAAAAAGCTTGCAATTTTCATTTGACCAGATTGGTTTTTCTATAATTATTTAGAACAGCAAGTTGAATTTTACTTAATTTGGTAAGTGTGTGCAAGTCTTCTTCTTGCTGAAAATAACGTTGCAACTTTTTCACGCAGTCTAATGCCTCCTTAGTTATCACTGGAAGCTCTTCTTCATCGTTGTTATCTAGTTCGTCTTCCTATTCGTTATTAACGGACCCTTCATTAACCAAATTGCAGTCTGACAATTCCTGCGTTGCTATTAAATTGTTGACAACATTTACATACTCACTAAATTTGTCTATTTATTTTCTGTAAATCACTTAATGGAATTTCATCTTCTGGATTAAAATCGTTCATCTTTCGTTCGATCTGTTATAATAGTGCGTATACTTGCATTGGCTGATTATTTTGTGCGAAAAAATGGCCCAAACTTACGAAAACAATGAACTACTGGACATAATGCTAACAAACGGAGAGTGCTAACAAAATGCAGCCGCAGCATGCAGGTTTCCTAGGCGGTATAGAATTCGAAACGGCTTATCGGATCTGAATCGTTGCCTTTCCAAGTTTTCAATATTGCTGATCCAATTGACGCCAATAAGCTGGTGTGCCTCTGGGTACTGGGAATTTATTCAAAAACTACCACAAACATCGTATCTATAACACCCAATACCCCAAATATAGATAAAAACTTGGACGAGCAAAACATCAACCACTTACTAGTCGTTTTAAAATCGGCAATCGATTTTCAAAAACGCTAAACATGAGACTACCAAATTTTTACAAGTACAGTGCCACCTACTTATGGGCGGGACTGTGACAAATAGTATATTATAGCAGGATGACCATCTTGAAAGAAAAACTTTTTTTAATGAAAAAGTCAGCAGACATAACATATTAAAGGCTTAAAATGTATTTGTTTAACATGTATTTCATAAATAAAGATACATACAAAAAAGTTATACGTAATTTTGAAGTTTGGATTTTTCAGAATCTGATACACATATTACAGGCATACGTACTGTGTAGGCATATGTAAAAACCGTAAATTATTTGTAAAAAACCCAATAATTTTCATTTGAACAGATTGTTTTTATTGTATAATTATTTAGAACAGCAAGTTGAATTTTATTTAATTTGGTAAGTGTAGATGTACTGTCTTCTTTTTGCTGAAAATAACATTGCAACTTCTTCACGCAGTCTAATGCCTCCTTAGTTATCACTGGAAGCTCTTCTTCATCGTTGTTTTCTAGTTCGTCTTCCTGTTTGTTATCAATGTACCCTTCATTAACCAAATTGCAGTCTGACAATTCCTGTGTTGCTATTAAATTGTTGACAACATCTACATACTCATTAAATTTGTCTATATTCAGTGAACTATTAATTATCAGTAAATCACATGGAATTTCATCTTCTGGATTAAAATCGTTGACTATTTCAGTTATGTTTTTCACTAAACCAACATGGCGAAAACAATTACGAATCGTTTCTGGAGTAACCAATTCCCTTGCAATAAGTAAGCAAATGTATAGCATCCCAAATGGTGACAGCTTTCGTAATGTTGAAGCTCCATAATTTTAATCAACACACATTATGTTTGCGATACATTTGTTTGCGTTGACTTCAAATGACACCCTGGTCCATTGGCTGCAGAACTGATGTCACATTGGGTGGAAAAAATTGCAGGTTGATGTTATTAAGTGAAATTTGGATTTCGGAATTATCGGGGCAGCTATTGACCAAGAGCAAAATTTTACGACTTTTCTTTACAAGTTAAGCATCCCACTTTTTTATATGTTCAAAAAGTCATCCAAGCTTTAATATTTCCAACATAATCGACGGGAATTGTTTTAACGTTTTTGGAACACCTGGGATTCTTAAATTTCCCTGAAATAAAAAGTCATAAATTCTTTGCAGCACTGCCATTGAATATCAAAAAAATTAGAACATGAATTTCTAGTCATTCACTTACCTATTATCAAGAATTTCCGTTTTTCAGTACCAGAAGCAATAGCACAAATCATAACAGTTATTCGCTCTTTTGATAGTTTCCCTCCATTACAAGTTTCACCTTTTAATTTATGAGTTTTATCTGGTAGCATTCTATAAAATATCCCGGTTTCATCTGCATTGAATATGTTATCATCTGAATAATCGCTGGATATTACGGGCCAAACTTCAGAAATCCAGTCATTGGTAACGTTCTTGTCAACTGAAGCTGACTCACCACACATTTTTCAAAAAACAATCTTCAAACAGTCTTTTCTTAAATCTCAAATCAATTTCCCAAATTCTTCAGCTTTTATAGTCGCATAGATCCACTTATTGGAAAATTATTAGCACGCTTTTCTTGAAACCATTTAAACAGCACATCATCGACTTGATGCAGCGATAGCCGAATTTTTTTCTTTTGACTATTTATTTCCAATCATTTTTAATTTTTCCACGGTTTTTCCAAATATTTGACACAGTGAATTTTTATAGCTATACGAGCACACATATTTGCTTGAGATGAACCCTGCTCAAGCTCACTAACTATTATGAACTTTTCGGGTAAAGTAAATGCACGTTTCGCACTTTTCGACATGTTTATAACTCTAATAAATACAGGATAACACTGGTGGCCAAGTTATAGTGGATTAAAATAGTCCACTATAAGCAAGGGTCTATTTTAAGCGAGTCTATAATATCCGAGGATTTTACATGCAGTTATTTATAGGACCTTATATTGTGTCCATTATATACGAGTTTCCATTATACGCAAGTTCATTATAAGTGGATTCCACTCCACTGTACTTCAATAATAGCAAATATGTTTACAAGTTTTCTTCAAAATTCATTGAATAATTCTGGGTGCTGCTTTTTATATGCCACTTAGTATATCTTGTTTTCAATTTGATTATTATTTATTTCTATGTTGATGGGACTTTGTGTTTTATATTAAAATTATCACTGTATTTTTTAGTAGTTAGTGTGTGGAACTTTATTAAAATCTTTTCCATAATCAAGATATAAATATGGGATTACCTTCGTCATCCAAAGCTACTGTTGTTGTAAAGCAGAAAGCAAGTTGGTAATCACAGATCTTTCACGTAAAAAGCCATGCTGTGTATCTGATGTTATTTTGAAGTAGGAACTGTGCGGGTTCACCCATGATTTTTTCCATGGATCACAAGCAAGGCTTACAGGTTTCTAATGTTTCAGCAGATCACCTTTTTTGTATATTGTTACTACAAGAAAATAAAGCCAGGCTTTAGCCATAAATTACGAAAGTTTTTATTTGATACTCTCCAGAATCAATATAACATAAAAGTAAGGTAATGCAAAAGATCACGTGTGTTCTAAACGGTACAATGGAACTGGTTGTGAATACTCATCAACTCGTCAGCAGGAAATAAAAAAATAACTGGAAACTGAACTAAAACCCTTAATCAATCTGTCTGTATTATTATAACTTGTCGTCACTGTTGGCAGACGAGGATAACGTCTCAGAATTCTCCGTTTCAATACTCGCGTCAACTTCCATTGGAATTTGTTCAGCAGGTTTATGGCTATCACTTTCTGTTTTTTCTGGCTGCTCCTCTTCTTTTTTCTCTTCTTCTTCATGTTTTACGCAGTCCGCCTCGCTGCCACCTTTTTCTGTCACTTCTTCCGGTTTGGGAGAGGCAGGTTTTTCAACTCCGGCCACGGAAACCTCAGTTTTGTCTTTTTGATCTTTTTCAGTATCTTCATTCGCAGTTTCTTTAGCAGGTTCTTCAAGCCTCTCTTCAACAATTTCTTTTTTCTCCGGTTCGGCAGTGGGTTCAGCTTGAAGCACTTCTGGTGATAATGAACTGTTTTCGGGAGATATATTTTCAATGGCTGCGGTGTCTTGTACAACAGTTGCTGGTTTTTCTGCTTCTGGAGGGTTTGCCTTTATTTCTTCCGGTTCTTTTGTTGTGTCGGCTGCCGCGAGTTTTGATGCAGGTAATGTTGCCAGAATTTGATCTTCAATCGGTATATCTTCCTTTGCTGTCTCTGCAATTTGTTCAGCCTGAAATGAAGTATAAGTAGAAGAAATCAATGATAGGCAACACCATGAAAAAAATCATGTTGACAAAACTTTACTAAAGTGAACCAGCAAAACCAGAATCGAGGGAAACTTTAGTAATAGTTCAATCGTATCACATATTCAAGGTGGATTCAATAATGCAAGTGATAACTTTTCTAGAGCAGAAAGAATTTCTTTAAATATGGGTCTAAAAAGGTCCCATTACCAGAACACAGGGTGTTGTAAATTTCGATGCCACTGATGAGACTGGAAAACGTGAAAATTGTTCAAAGGACACAATGGATTCGATGTCAATTACACTACCTTCAGTGAATTTTCAAAGTAGAGTGGGTTGAAGCTTGTGATGCGGATTTCACCTGAAATATTCAATCCATTTTTTTTAGGAAAGGCGATTCATGTAGTCATGTACTCTATATAAAAATCCTATGTTTCAAAAGTAATATATAGAAAATATTTTCCTTTCTTTTTCTGCGAGGATAAAAAATTCTACTGTGTATGTTCAGGTAAAAAAAATGTTTATGTATTGAAATAGCATAGAAGTGAACACTAATACAACTCCCAGATATTGGACCAATAATAATAATAATAATAATAATGATGATAAACGACTTTTATTCAGGTGAAGTTTAGCTACAAGCTATTCTACCACTAAACCCTTGAAAATAAGTAGCACTATAATATTGAAAACAAGTTTAAGAAAATATTCTCAGAAAATAAAACAAAAATTACATATTGAATACAACATACACATGAGTGTTCAAATATAAAAAAACCTTTAAAAAGGATTCATGACCACATTAAAAATAAGATGCATCTAAATCCTATCAAACAAGGTTTAAACAGAATTCATATGTGCAAAAATCTACAAAAACCATCGTTAAAACTCTCTTCTATTACACAAAATGTTTCAATCATATTTCAAGTCATGGATTATACAGAAACCAAAGAACTCAATCCATAAACTTATAGACACTAAAAATCATTATTAAACTCAAAGCAATTTATGTGTATCATGGGTGTATTTACATTAATTTTATATCAAAAATAGTCTGAATAATTTAGCCGAATTTCCACCTAGAAAAATATAATTTTTTTACACTTAACTACATTATTTAACATTTGTGTAGTTACCCATTTGTATTTATTTCTTTCTCATGAAACAATACCCAAACTTCTTTGTAAAGTGTATCTACTGTATCTAAGTAAGGGGTAATTTTAGGACCCATATTTATAAGCAGTTTTGTTTGTGTCTTATTATATAACATGAATTTATGTTAAAACTATCTGACCCTATTATTATGTAAAAATAGTATTTCCTGAAAAAATATGCTTACCACTGCTTCATTACTTTCATCCTCGCTGCTGCCCCCAGCTTCCCCATTAGCCAATTTGTCTTTACTTTCAGCTGAAACGTGTTCAATTGCCACAGCTGGGTCAGTGTCAGCTTTAGTCTTAGTTTCCTCATCCTGCTCAGAACTGCATTCAGCCACTGCCACAGGGGTTGCTTCTATAGATACATAGGAGTGTGCCAGTTCATCATTTGTGCATGTTATCACTGTTTCCTGTTGAGTTACAGGGGTTTCTGTTGTTGAGACAGCTTCAGAATGGTTCTCACCATTTTCCTGGAAAAAAATATAGTCAAGATAATTAAGAGGGTTCTGTGAGGATGTGATTAATCTCGCCACGCCAATGGACAAGGAAAATTCCAGTACTTGATTGTTCTTTAAAAGCCCAACTTCTAAGCTTTGGCATTTTACTAGTAATGAGTAACGAAACGAATCTCAAATTTTTCGGTATTTGTGAACGCAAATATCTACCACGATTATTCGAAAATGCTAATACGAATATTCATTTTTTTCTATACACCACATCAAAACATACTTTGAGGAGAAAAGATTGCAAAGTTTTTACTTGTGAAGTTTAATACATTTCTCTAGTTCAGCTTGAATGTTAAATTACTGCTCAAAGAGCAAATAAGTATCTAGTGTATAAAAAACATTTCTTTTTCATAAAAAGGTTATATGGGGTTGTCCAAAACGGACGCAGGAAAGTAAAGGCATATTAAAACAAGAAAGATTGATATTCAAATCAAGTTGGGTACTTTATTTTGAAGGATCATTTATACCATTTATGTATGAAAAATAATATCGTTCAAATGTTCACCACAACTGGATTTACAGACGTCCACGCGATGGTCGAAATTTTCAATGACATTTGCAACATGGTCGGTTCTATGGCATTTATCTCGGCAATGATGTTGCTTTTGAGTTCTTGGAGGGTGGCTAGTTTGTTGACGTAGACTTTGCTTTTCAAATATCCCCATAAAAAGAAGTCCAAGGGAGTCAAATCGCACGATCTTGGTGGCCATGGCACATTTCCTCTGCGCGAAATCACGCGATCACCGAAGAAGGACTGCAATCGGTGGATATTGACGTTGGTTGTGTGGCATGTTGCACCGTCTTGTTGGAAATGAACATCGTCCATATCCATTCCTTCAAGTTGTGGCAAAAAATAGTCCTATATCATCACGTGATATCGCTCAGAATTGACGGTAAAGGCGTCCCCGGCCGCATGTTCGAAAAAGTAAGGTCCGATGATGCCTTTTGACCACAATGCACACCACACAGTCACTTTTTGAGGATGCATCGGCTGCTCTTGATACTCACGGGGATTTTCGTTCGCCCAGATGCGGCAGTTTTGCTTGTTTACCGTCCCATTCAAAGTGAAATGCGCTTCGTCGTGAACATGATTTTTGATGAAACATTGGCATCAATTTGGCGGTGTTCAAGAAGCCAATCTGAGAACGTTCGGCGCGAAAAATGGTCGGCCCGACGCAGCTCTTGCGTCAATTGGATCTTGCAGGCGTGTACAGTCAAATCCTTGTGGAGAATGCGGAGCAAACTGGTTCTCGAAATGCCCAATTCTTGGGATCGACGCGTTGTTGATTGTTTCGGATCGTCTCTCAGACTCTCCTTCACAACAGCAATATTTTCCGGTGTGCGAACGCTCCTTGGCCGGCCAGAGCCTGGCAGATTTGCCACAGAACCTGTTGCCTCGAATTTACGCACCAGACGACCGATGGTTGTTTCGTTTGGGCGGTTGTTGCGACCGAAATGTTCACGAAGCGGCACGAAACGTGTTTTTTATTTTTGCACCATTTTTGTAGTGCTCTTGAATAACTTTAATGCGGTCTTCAATCGAATACGACTCCATAGCGATCAATGGTAAACATTCAACTAACAAAATGACATGTTGGTGACAGAAAACAAAGATGGCGTCTATGTCAAATTGACGTTTACTTTCCTGCGTCCCTATTGGACAACCCTTTATGAAGACTTTTGCTTTTGGTTTTATTATATAAAAGATTTATAACCAAAAACTCATCAAAGTAAAAAAGGAATTTATTTTTTTGTTTGAAGTTATTCCATAATTATGGTTGCATTTGTTTACAACTCAATCTCGCTTTACTAAGTTTGTTGTATGTTCTTTTGAGGAAAACTTAGTTTAACCAACCTCAGCTGAGTGAGATCTGTCCTCACTTGCAACATTTAGGTGAAGTTTATTTTGTTTACATGCAAAATCCAGATAATTCAATTTGTGATATTTTTTAGTAAGTTTTATGCCACTGTGGTCCAAATTTATATTTTCACAAAAAATAACTTAGATATACATAGAATTCTGTAGGATCATTTATCATGGTATAGAACATATAAAAGAATACCAAAGAGCATTCAAAAATAAATAAGTAAAAATAAATATATGATAATACACATTGAAACACAAGACAGTTGATAATGACTCAAACAAAGATTGACCAATAAAACACAAAAACATAAATGAAATGGTAAAATGATATTTGTGCATCTATTTATTGCAATATTTGTTTTTATGGTAAGCACAATGATCCAACACAATAATTTTTAGTTTCATATGTGTTCAGAGAGTTTTATTGTAGATTTGAAGTGTTAGAACCACATGCTGATATAACAAAACTAAGTTTAATATTCACAATGGGTGAATTTCAGACAAAAATCCTAAAATTGGTAACCTTGGGCTTTAAAAGAACAATCAAGGGACCAAGTACTAAAATAAAGAGAAAAAAATTCTCAAAACTGGAAAATATATACTTTCTAGAATACAAAAATGTTCAAGGCTCCAAAATCCTGACCCTGCGCCTTTTGACTTTCTCTAGCTACAAAAGGATCCCAATAATTGGATGCAACACGTCCCTACAGTTTTAGATTTTTTCAAAGATAATAATTCTCAAAACAAATTTACCTTCTCTCTTTCTTGAGCCTGAACAGGTAGTTCCTGTGATACAGCTGGTTGGCTTTTTGCCTCAGCCTCATTGCTCTCATACAAAATTGGTGTAGGCTGAACCACCCTGGGCCAGTTGGGAGATTCATCCATCTCTTCCACATTGATATCATGACTAGAATTACTGTTATCTGGTAAATGTTCTGCTTCGCCATTCAGTAGGCTTTCTCCATTCTCGGTAGATCTCCTGCCATTACCTGGTTCTGTTGTACTGACCACTAAAATATTCTTCTCTAATGCTCTCATGAACTTGTCTATCCGATTGTACTCTTTTCTAGGTGAGGTCAATAATTCACATATTCTTTGTACTACAATAAAAAAAGTTTTACAAATAGATTCAGTTGAACACAATGACTACTTATTGTAATCACTCAATATTTATCGTGTAATGTAATATTTATTGACCATGTAGCCAAGATGTCAGTATTGATGAATCATTCTCCTGGTAACCAATATTTTGTATCAGCATTCTGGATCATGGTTACTTTATAACTAGTGTATGCTTCATTTTGAGGAATAATTTTCTTTATTTAATAACCAGCCTATAGTTTATACATCATTGTACGAACTACTAAACAAGTGCCTGATTTGAGGGAGCTATTAATAGCAACATAAATAACAAACGAGATTCTGTAATGAATTTGCCAATTACCTGTAAAAGGCGCTGAGGAGAAGGTCTCCAACTTTTCCAAAATAAAATTCTTCATGAGTTCATAGTTAAAATGATCAACATTAGGGCAGGGCGGTATCTCAATTGAGGGGCACGATTCGTAGAAATCTGTAATAACATTTATGAGTTTTTCGCGGAACAGGCTTTTTATTGTCGGCCACTGATACACAGGATTTCCAGTTCTTGCAACATAACACAAATATTCCTCAAGTTCTCGCGGTATGTCTTTCGGTTTCATTTTGGCAAATTCCTCCAAACTGTGCAATATCTCTTCGGGATTATCCATCTTGCACCTATTGTAAGGCGTTAGAAAAAAGTACTCGGCACCAAAAATAAAGTGAATACGTTGGAAAAACACCCAGTTTATGTTTTAAAAAATATTCCAACAAACAAAGCCACCACAAATAATGAAGTTTGCTCCGAAGTGACACCTGACGTATGACAAACGACGCAAATGCGGCAACGTCACCAACCGAGCAGGGTCAAAGTTCCTAGACGTGGTTAAGGCTGGTCTACACCGAACGCGACAGCTATAGGCAACACAAATTTCGTCATTGGTAATCATTTCTGATAAGAAATTATAAACTGAATTGATATCAACCGTCTTATAGTTGTAATGTTTGCTTTAATTTTCGTATTTTGAAGCACCATAAATAAACATAAAGGTCGAATAATCGCACCAATACTAATTCATTCATTAAATGGATGAATGATAAGAATGCCTGCCTTATATAATATACATATTATAAATATGACTATAAATTGTTGACTCATTCATTATTCCAAAACACATCCTGGTCGATATTTAGAATGCACAAAGCAGGCAGTACCTTAAGTACCAAATGCAGCGGCGTGCCAACAGAGAACGACTGCTCATTTTGTGATTCTAGATTTCTACTGTTCAGCGTCAGCGCTCTCCTACTTATGTTTTCTTTTTGAATGGTAGGATATTTCAGGCTGATGAGACATGATAAAAACCAAAAGCATGAACAATTTGAAGCAAATAGATACTTGTAATATAACCTCAAAATAGAGCGCCTTTCTGAATGACAGGAAAAGGAAAGGAAAATCAAGAACGCCATAAAGGGGTCCTAGAATAATAAATTGTGGGAACGACTGACGATATGGCCCTAGGTATCCCAACTATTAGATATGTGGATCGCTATATCGTGGCGCGACATCTAACATATACAGGGTGGCGCATCGAAAACGAAACAGACGCATTTACTGGCAGCTCAGTTTTTTTTTGGAAAAACGTTAACACGTGCAGCTCCCTGAGCGGGGGTGGCACCAACCCTAAAATCTTAAATGGAAAGGGGGGTCGAGTGATACCTTATTTTAAAGGTCTTTCAATTCCCTTTATATTGATGTAAAATACATGAGCTTCAGTTCAGTAGTTTTGAAAACAAAATCGACGGGTCTGAGCGTTTTTCAAAAAAAAACTTGGTAAATGCGTCTGTTTCGTTTTCGATGCGCCACCCTGTATGTGCATTGCACAGGACGTCTAGCATTTATGAGTCAGAGACGTAGAGGTCTTCTTTCATCTGCATCGTACGGGATGAGGATGAAGATCAGCTTGACAAATCGTTCGTAGAGATCGTCAGATTTCCCATCTACTTTCGCATGCATTCTCGAATTTCCTAGTCGACCGTTATTTTTGATTACCCCCTTTTATAAAAACCTCACGCTTGTTCCAGGTATCCCCCACCGAGCTGGAGAACCTGCTCTTGGAGATCGACGGTGTAACCGATGCAGCAGTAGTGGGAGTCCCCGACGCCCTAGCTGGGGAAGTCCCCAAGGCTTTCGTGGTGCTCAAACCTGGAGCTGAAGTGACCGAAGAAATCATCCACCGATTCATAAATGGTAAAGTGACGCATTACAAGAAACTGGTAGGCGGAATTAAGTTCGTCGACGCTATTCCCAGAAACCCCAGTGGGAAGATTTTGAGGAACGAATTGAGGGTATTGAACTGTTAATGTTGTTTATATTATATTAAGTATATACGCTAAGGAAAATGTAGCGAATGAGAAGAGCTGCATTAGGTTAGAATTATAGCATAAATATATGTATGTTGTTAATTGCTGGATATCATTTGTATATTTCATTGTTGTTCAAAAGACAAAACTATAATTCCAAGTTAATTACCTATATCGGTGTAAGCTACAGTTGCTCAAGGTCACAATATAAAGTATAAATCTGAAAAATGATCTAGAAAGACACTAGTTATAATTGCAATATTATACCTGGTGTCCGCAAAGTTGGGGTTTTCCTTTTCGGAAACAACTACCCTTGAAATAACAAAGGTAATGTGTAGTGAAACGAGGGCGATCAAGTAAAAAAAAATAAAGGAAAAAGTACTCACTCTCCAGTTGACGAGGAGGGCTAAGTACGGCTCTGCCCGAAATCATACCGCTCCATCAGAAAGTGAAATCAGGTAACAAATATGACCATCGTGCAGAAACCACATTGATTGTCTTACACTTAATGGCACATCTTCTAACAAGGAAGGCAAAATGTTGCGTAAAAAGTCTAGATAAAGCATCCGGTACAATCGATTTGGGAGAATAAATGGTCCAATGAGCATACCGTTCACCATGCCATGACGTGAAACGGATACAGCCCCTCTTCACGCAGCGTTTGCCACACTTTAGTTTTTGATACTTGCACTTCTCTAGGCACGTCTCTGGTGCTTGTTCTTTTTTGAAACGCAATCGATTATACGGGTTCGTTTACCTCTACACGCGTGACCGTAACCGTCAGTTGAAGGTTGCATACTGACCTGACACACTGACCCCGACCCAGTTCTGTCGTCGGATTAAGCTAGTGTCCTAGTACCACTCGGGGATGTCGCGAGTCGCGGCTACAGGACGGTATTCAGATATTTTTGATGTTGCAGAGCCCTTTATCTCGGTACATTGGTATATATGGTACTAAGAAAAATTGCTTATATTTTCAAGATATACACGTCGTGTAAAGGAAAACCCCAACTTTGCGGACACCCTGTATAATTCAATTGGACGAAACATCTTAAGTTAAAAGGTAACTAAGATATTTATCCATTTGAATCCACGTAGGCGTTGATTTTTCTATCTAGACAGATTTCTAAGCCGCCCATGGTTTCGCTAACGTCTAGTTTAGGACACGCTACGCAATTGCTTGACCAAATGCTTTCAAGCAAGAATTTTGTTTTAAATATCGTTATTTCAGACTACTACATTATGAAATGACCAATTAATTGCATTTCGCAGTTCTGTTTTATCAGACACTTTAATTATTTCAAACCATTAGCTGTAGATCTATACAGGGTGTATGATTTTAATCTTCCCATTTAAATATTTCAAAAACTACGTATCTTAAGAGGCAAGATTATGGTGAGCTTGACCATGACCTTCACTGCGATCTTCAAGGTTAAGTGAATATTTTCAAAATGAGCCCCTTTTTGCACTGAAATTGGAAAGTTCGAATATGACCTTGACCTTGATCATAACTATGACCTTCAACGCCGTTTTAGGTTTAGTAAAGACATTTTCTCTAGCAAAAATGTTCGGCTGCATAGTTGTCAGGTTGTGGACGTCGCAAAAAGGTGACCCTGACCATGACCTTGACAATTCAAAATTATCAAAGGAAACAGCTAATTTTCATACCGGAATTTTAAAAAGCAGGAATTGTTACGCCCTGTTTATATATACCGAAATGTAATGCATTTTTAACTTGTCAATTATTAGGTGCTAAACGTTTTATTATGCAATTTCTACTTGTTTACTTGATATCATATATTTTTGTTTCGTTTATGGCCTCTGCTAATAACAGGCTTTATGTGATAAGCCTAAATTATATTTGTTTAAGGTTTTTATATTTATTACTATAACAATGTATTTATAGCTTAACTCCAAAAGACAATAAAAAGCGGACAAAAAGTCTTTAAACCATCGTTTACCTGAAAATATTTTTTAAAATACCTATGTGTGTAATGTAAGCATCTAGAAGCAAATGTGTCAATTATAGTTATATAAATATGTATACATTTTAATACTTTGTTTTTGTAAATACCAACAATTTTATTTTATATCTGTTGATTGTATAGGTCCAATAACTGTATATTTTAGACAATTTGTACGTTTACGTTTTGTAATATAAATATATATTTTAATATTTCCAATTGTCAATCATTTATTACGCAAGCCATCTAGTTCTCCAAAGGTGGAAAATTTTTCATCTACAAAACATTGAATTTTCAATGTGCCAAGGATGATCCAGTTCATCTTCGTTTCTTTCACTATTTTGTTGGTAAAAACGAAACTGGTAGTCTTACATTGGGAGAGAAACCAGATAAATTGTAAAAAATGTATTGCTGGGTTAAATAAGAAATTGGTAAACAGAATTTGATTCTTCTTTGAGACACTGACTGAAAAAAGTTCTGGAGGAATTCCAGATTCTAGGACCACGCGAAGAATCTCTTGGCGACGCTTTTTGACCTTTGCACAGGTCAAAGGTGAGACATCGCTTCCTTTCGCGGTCTGTCATTTGAACCTTCTGGTGGAGTTTCGCTTCTCTTCTTTTCTATTCCCTTCCGCAAAATGTGTTTCACATTTTCATCGTTAGCTTGGCAGTGTCGTCACAACCTGCCAACGACTAAGCAAAACATTCTGCTAGAGCAGTGTGAGAACGTCACACTCCGGGTGCATACATCTCTTAATTCAATAGCACTGGAAAACGGCTCTTGGAACTACTCAACTAGTGCCATTTAATTCCAGCTTGTTACGAGGGTGGTCCCAGAAGTACCCGACCCAACGACCAAAACAAAATTTTTGTTAAAAAATTTATTTATTTTTCAACATAATCTTAAGTTCGATACCCTTTTTATAATAAGAACTGTCTTGCTCCTCAAAATAGCCATTAACTGCCGACATCACTTCATCTTTGGAACATCTTTGACCACTGATCCATTTTTTCAAGTTTGGAAACAGAAAATAATCCGAGGGTGCTAAATCTGGTGAATAGAGTGCATGAGGTAGCAATTCAAACTTTAATTCATTAATGTTGGCCATTGCAATAACGGATTTGTGAGTTGGTGCATTGTCTTGATGAAACAACACTTTCAGCTCATACAGCCTCGTTTAAACTGTGCTACCCAATATTTTACTGATGTAAACGAAGGACCAGACCCACCCAGAGTAGAATCCAGTTCAGCTTTTATATTGGTTGGGCTGAGGCCTTTGAAATAACGGTATTGTACCACATAACGATGACCAATTTTCTCCATTTTCACAAATTCACTGAAAACGTTTAGTATTGATGGCTGCCAAACAAATACTAAACAACGTGGCGTCTTCACACTTGTCACATATGCTTTATAGGTTGCATACTTTCTAATACAATGATATTTTTCAAACAACTATCGCCATCTCTAGGTCAGGCCGGGTACTTTTGGGACCACCCTCGTATAGTATCCTCCATTAGGCTGAATTATGGGAATTTATGCGGGATACCTCAGTAAACATGAAAAGGTATATTCACATTTTCTAAAAGAGATAATAAAGCATGTTCTTAACACATACTGTTCACATCCATTTAAGAATTTTTGCTGACGAACGTTCTAAGAATATGCGATTTAAGAACATTCTAAACGGAAATGTTCATAGCATATCAATTTGCTCACATGCTAGTAACATTATTCATTTCAGTGCGATATAAATCTTCTTGTCACGTGGCAGTAGCATTCCACTAGAGCTGCTTTCCCAGTGGCGCTGTTAAGTAACTCAGAAGTGCTCAGCACCAATACCATTCCACTGCACGTAGTATTTTCGTGTATTGTTTCTGGAGCAATTCTGGAGCGTATCACTCTCCAACCAAAAACCACTGGAAAGCGGCTCTGGTAAGAAAAACGGATATACCTGGCATGTGTCAAGCACATTCCATCAGAATCTATCAGGTGAATCTTTCGGCCTATCGCGCATGTGCGTGTGTTCGAGCGATGGCAAGCCAGCCCGCTCACCGGCATCCATTTTGTTTTATTCTGTGTCTTTGCGTACCTAACATATCATGCATCGTGTGCCTGCGTCTCAAAGTGGTACGGTATTTGAAAGTTTTTTGTGAAAAATGGGATGTTTTGTAATAATTGCTCACCTCAATTCGTCTAACTAATAAACATTATTGTATTAATTGAGTAAGGTATTTACAAGACCATAATCCTCAAACATATCGCGTAATAGGAAGTTTAATTTGTTGTGAGAAGAAATTGGCGTCTACAGCTGCTCATACTGGAAAGATGCTGTAGCTTATGAGCTTATTCAACTAACGCGAACATTGCATGAAAATATGTATGTTTTGAAGATCTAATTTAATCCCATAGCCACACGCGAATGTCATGAAACGAAGACACATAGGTCTCCAAGTCTGAAATAAGCTAAAGTATAGACATGCAAATGCAAGAAGACGCGGTTAATGTTTATTTACATTAATGCGAGGATTTTAGGAATATAACATAACGTATACTTTATCTGAAGTCACTTGAAATAGCATAAAAACCTTTGGTCGGCGCGTCCTTAATTTCATGACGTATCATAGGCGTGCGGTCATTTATTTAGAACGATAATAATAATGTTTTTATATCACAATAAATGGATTTTACTATCTTCTTATTTTTTTGATTTGGGATAAAAAATACTTATATTGGGAGTTTAATTTATGTTGACTGAAAGTTAAGAAATGGAAAAATTACAGAATTCCAACGTTTGACATAGGCAAATATTTACATAGCAGGTAGGTATATAAAAAGGTATATAAAGACTTACATTATAGGTATTTATATATCATCCTCGCCTTCGGAGCTGTCGCTAGAGTCATCTTGTAGAGGAATTACAACGGGATTTACAGGAGGCAAAACACAATATTCATTTTCTTTTTCAATAATATGCCTAGAACACTGCTTCCATAGGTCTGTGGCAGCAATATGAGATACTGCATCTCTTATTGTGGCCAATAGCGATTCACTTAATTGAGGGGTCTGATTATGTTTTCTTACTTTTTTTTTAAAGCAGCCCAGACCAACTCAATCGGGTTAAAAATGCAGTAATAGGGAGGTAGACGTAATACTTCATGGCCATTTTGCTGAAGCAGATTGTCAACAACATACTCTTTTTCAAATTTTTGTCCTTTAATAAGATCCAATAATATGGCTTTGGTTGATTTTTGTGGTATTTCCATTCCCTTATCCTTCATAAAATCAATAATGTCTTGTTTTTTTGTGCCTGTATTCGGAGTTTTGTTTTTCTGTCGGGAATGGTAAGGCGCATTGTCCATAATAATCACTGAATTTGGGGAAATGTTTGGTATTAACTGCTGCTCTATCCACTTTTCAAATAAGTCGGAGGTCATGTCCTCATGATAGTCGGCACATGATTCTTTGATATTTTTGGCAGATAACAGCAAGGCATTAGGTATAAATCCATTTTCACTGCCAGTATGGAGAATAATGATTCGTTTTCCACGGTTGCATGGTGCATTTAAAATGCACTTGTTGCTGTCGTCAAC